TCCTGCTGGATATTCTTCTCGACGGGCACATACTCTTGGAACAACGACCTGCCCTCCGATTCCGGCTCAATGGCTGCCGGTGATAGGGTGACCGTGGTAATGCCCGTTGCCGAGTTGCCGTTCTCCAGGAAGGCCAACGACGCGCGTGTTCTGCTTGAGGGTGTTGCTGTTGGTGTTGTTGTTGCTGCTGATTTCCATTCTGATAGTTCCCTGGGATGCTGATGTTGCCCAATGGCGAGACGGGCGGTAGAGGACTTTTGGGTGTCACCAGCTTGCCATGGGAGGCCATAAACCGCTGTATCACGCCCTTGGTAGAGGCACTGCCGAGGCCGCTTAGCTGCGGAGTGGAAATGGTTCTGGTAATGAGCTTCTGCTGCGGCGGCTCCGGTGTCATGTTGAGGCAGTTGGGTCCAATGTAACGCTGCTCCTGGCGGGTGACCACGGTCAGCTTGAGCGGCTGCTGCTGCTGCTGCTGCTTGGACTGGAGGTTGTTGTTGCTCTGCGAGGAGGCCGCGAAGCCCGAGTAATTAGAATGCTGGTCATCGAGGCTCTTCTCCTTGGCGCTGTTCACGCTAGAGGCCCGTCCCGTTCTCGGCATTCCTCTTGATCGGGCTTTCCCACTGGAAAATGAGGCCTCGCGATAAGGACGCCTCCTTGGGCGTCAGATCACAGAGCTGGTCCAGCGTCATGGCCGGCCACATCCCATTAATGCTGCCATTGCTGGCTCCATTGGCTATGGAGGCGGCTGCATTCAGACTGCGATTGCCAGCGGGCTTGTGTACGTTCTCCGGCTCGATGCTGTTGGTAAGAATGAAAATTCAATGAGAATCAAACTTCCTTTAGTAGGTTATCTAACACTTGCCCATTTCTATCCAACTCCTGGGTGGACTAGACATTGCGCAGGTTTCCGGGTCCATAGCAGTGCTCCACCTCAGAGTCCTCATCGTCATCCTCGTCCGCATCGGCCTCTTCGCCTGTGCTGAGCTTGTCCAGCGAAGCCTTCAGTATGTTCTGCCTGTTAATCTTGCTCAGGCGCTTCAGCGCCTTGAGGTCCTGCAGCTCCTGCTGGATCTTCTGCTCGACGGGCACATACCCTCGACGCAACGGCCTGCCCACTGAATCCAGCTCGATGGCTGCCGGTGATAGGGTGACCGAAAGGCCAACGACGCGCGTGTTCAGCTTGAGGGTGTTGATGTTGCTGCTGATTTCCATTCTGATAGTTCCCTGGGATGCTAATGTTGCCCAATGGCGAGACGGGCGGCAGGGCACTATTGGGTGTCACCCGCTTGCCATGGGAGGCCATAAACAGCTGCATCACGACCTTGGTAGAGGCACCACTTGATCCAGCTCATCCTGATCCTGTGGCTGCTCCTGAGTGCATTCACCATAACCCAAAAATAGGATGTCAAAGCTGCACATGGTTCAATGCCAGCAATCGATAGTCTAAGATGCGTATGGTTGCATGCCAGCAATCGATAGTCAAAGCTGCGTTTTATGTCATCAGCTTATCGTCAATGCTGCACATGGCTCCATGTCAGCTAGTCGTCAATGCTGCACATGGCTCCATGTCAGCTGATCGCCAATGCTGCACATGGATCCATGTCAGCTTGGCCTTGGCGGCACTGGACTTTGTGTCGGCCAGGCGATTTAATGAGGCCAGTCGGAATCCGGAGGAATCATGTTGCCTGTGGTATTTAAAACCCACTTTGATACTTCGTAAAGGGAGCAATCGGTGCGGGCTAGTGACTAAATATCCTCGCTATGCTCATCCTCCGCCGAGGGCGTGAACTTTAGCAGCTGCTTGACCATGTCGAGTGCCAGCTGCTCGTTGCTGTCCATCAAAAGAATGGCCCTAGATGAGAAGAGATTAGTATTTGGAATCAAGAGGTGACTGAAGCAACTCCTACTTTGATATCTTCATGTCATTCATCTTCAGCTTGCTGATCAAAATGGTGCAGTTCCGAGCCCATCTGGGACATTGGCTCCCATCAAAGTTCTTACGTTCCAGCTCATCAGCACGCTTGCGTGCCTGCGTAAGTTGCTCCTCCTTGACCAGCAGACGCACCAGATTGCCTACATCGATTTGCCGGGAAGACGCATCAGAACCGTGAAAGGGTGAACTTGCGGCCCGCTGGTCGCTGCTCCACCTGCATCACAACCAGCTGGACTACGCGATTGATCAGCAGCCAGTGATCCGTGCAGTGACCAGAATCTCTTCTATCCAACTCCTGGGTGGACTGGACATTGCCCAGTTTTCCGGGTCCATAGCAGTCCACCTCAGAGTCCTCATAGTCTTCGTCGTCCGCATCGGCCTCGTCGTCTGTGCTCAGCTGGCTGGAAACGAAAAAACGTAAGATAAGAGGATCCTTAAAAGCCTTGACGTGTACTCACAGCTTGTCCAGCGAAGCCTTCAGTGTGTTGTGCCTGTTAATCTTGCGCTGGCGCTTCAGCGGCTTCAGGTCCTGCAGCTCCTGCTGGATATTCTTCTCGACGGGCACATACTCTTGGAACAACGGCCTGCCCTCCGATTCCGGCTCAATGGCTGCCGGTGATAGGGTGACCGTGGTAATGCCCGTTGCCGAGTTGCCGTTCTCCAGGAAGGCCAACGACGCGCGTGTTCTGCTTGAGGGTGTTGCTGTTGGTGTTGTTGTTGCTGCTGATTTCCATTCTGATAGTTCCCTGGGATGCTGATGTTGCCCAATGGCGAGACGGGCGGTAGAGGACTTTTGGGTGTCACCAGCTTGCCATGGGAGGCCATAAACCGCTGTATCACGCCCTTGGTAGAGGCACTGCCGAGGCCGCTTAGCTGCGGAGTGGAAATGGTTCTGGTAATGAGCTTCTGCTGCGGCGGCTCCGGTGTCATGTTGAGGCAGTTGGGTCCAATGTAACGCTGCTCCTGGCGGGTGACCACGGTCAGCTTGAGCGGCTGCTGCTGCTGCTGCTGCTTGGACTGGAGGTTGTTGTTGCTCTGCGAGGAGGCCGCGAAGCCCGAGTAATTAGAATGCTGGTCATCGAGGCTCTTCTCCTTGGCGCTGTTCACGCTAGAGGCCCGTCCCGTTCTCGGCACTCCTCTTGATCGGGCTTTCCCACTGGAAAATGAGGCCTCGCGATAAGGACGCCTCCTTGGGCGTCAGATCACAGAGCTGGTCCAGCGTCATGGCCGGCCACATCCCATTAATGCTGCCATTGCTGGCTCCATTGGCTATGGAGGCGGCTGCATTCAGACTGCGATTGCCAGCGGGCTTGTGTACGTTCTCCGGCTCGATGCTGTTGGTAAGAATGAAAATTCAATGAGAATCAAACTTCCTTTAGTAGGTTATCTAACACTTGCCCATTTCTATCCAACTCCTGGGTGGACTAGACATTGCGCAGGTTTCCGGGTCCATAGCAGTGCTCCACCTCAGAGTCCTCATCGTCATCCTCGTCCGCATCGGCCTCTTCGCCTGTGCTGAGCTTGTCCAGCGAAGCCTTCAGTATGTTGTGCCTGTTAATCTTGCTCAGGCGCTTCAGCGCCTTGAGGTCCTGCAGCTCCTGCTGGATCTTCTGCTCGACGGGCACATACCCTCGACGCAACGGCCTGCCCACTGAATCCAGCTCGATGGCTGCCGGTGATAGGGTGACCGAAAGGCCAACGACGCGCGTGTTCAGCTTGAGGGTGTTGATGTTGCTGCTGATTTCCATTCTGATAGTTCCCTGGGATGCTAATGTTGCCCAATGGCGAGACGGGCGGCAGGGCACTATTGGGTGTCACCAGCTTGCCATGGGAGGCCATAAACAGCTGCATCACGACCTTGGTAGAGGCACCACTTGATCCAGCTCATCCTGATCCTGTGGCTGCTCCTGAGTGCATTCACCATAACCCAAAAATAGGATGTCAAAGCTGCACATGGTTCAATGCCAGCAATCGATAGTCTAAGATGCGTATGGTTGCATGCCAGCAATCGATAGTCAAAGCTGCGTTTTATGTCATCAGCTTATCGTCAATGCTGCACATGGCTCCATGTCAGCTAGTCGTCAATGCTGCACATGGCTCCATGTCAGCTGATCGCCAATGCTGCACATGGATCCATGTCAGCTTGGCCTTGGCGGCACTGGACTTGGTGTCGGCCAGGCGATTTAGTGAGGCCAGTCGGAATCCGGAGGAATCATGTTGCCTGTGGTATTTAAAACCCACTTTGATACTTCGTAAAGGGAGCAATCGGTGCGGGCTAGTGACTAAATATCCTCGCTATGCTCATCCTCCGCCGAGGGCGTGAACTTTAGCAGCTGCTTGACCATGTCGAGTGCCAGCTGCTCGTTGCTGTCCATCAAAAGAATGGCCCTAGATGAGAAGAGATTAGTATTTGGAATCAAGAGGTGACTGAAGCAACTCCTACTTTGATATCTCCATGTCATTCATCTTCAGCTTGCTGATCAAAATGGTGCAGTTCCGAGCCCATCTGGGACATTGGCTCCCATCAAAGTTCTTACGTTCCAGCTCATCAGCACGCTTGCGTGCCTGCGTAAGTTGCTCCTCCTTGACCAGCAGACGCACCAGATTGCCTACATCGATTTGCCGGGAAGACGCATCAGAACCGTGAAAGGGTGAACTTGCGGCCCGCTGGTCGCTGCTCCACCTGCATCACAACCAGCTGGACTACGCGATTGATCAGCAGCCAGTGATCCGTGCAGTGACCAGAATCTGCGCATGAAAAGGGTTAAAATTAGCTCAGCTTAGGACAAGGACACTCAGGGAGTACTCACAGGGCAGAAGCGAAGTGGTCTGCACTGCCGCCGGCCGGTCTATGACCAGCACGCTTCGGTCTTGATCCAGCTCATTTTGATCCTGTGGCTGCTCCTGAATGCATTCACCATAACCCAAATCGTAGGATGTTAAAGCTGCACGTGGTTCCATGCCAGCAATCGATAGTCAAAGCTGTGTATGGTTGCAAGCCAGCAATCGATAGTCAAAGCTGCGTTTTATGTCATCAGCTGATCGTCAATGCTGCACATGGCTCCATGTCAGCTTGGCCTTGGCGGCACTGGACTTGGTGTCGGCCGGGCAATTAAGTGAGGCCAGTTGGAATCCTGAGGAATTATGTAGTTGCCTGTGGTATTTAAGAATGCACTTAAATAGTGAAATTAAATGAAAGAGAGAATGTAAAAATTGCCCAAAGCCAGAACCAGCTCAAGGAGCTTGCGCAGACGTCGGGAACTGACCATTTCGCGGTACGCCACCATCACACTGGTGATGCGTGGTATAAGATCGTTGTCCGTCGGCATAAAGCGCTTCCTGTAGTAGAGACTCTTCAGCCTTTGCTCGTAGTGGGGAATCCTGCCAGGACAAAAGAACAAATAGTTTAGTGACAGCCAAATCTCTTCAATGCCCTTCAAACCTACTTTGGTACTTAGTAAAGGGAGCAATCGGCGCGGGCCAGTGACTTAATATGCTCGCTATGTTCATCCAACAGTGCACGCTCCTCCGCGGAGGGTGTGAACTTTCGCAGCTGCTCGACCATGTCGAGTTTCAGCATTTCGTTGCTGTCCGTCGAGAGAATGGCCCTAAAAGAGAAGGGATTAGTATTTAGAATCAAGAGGTGCGTAAAGCAACTCCTACTTTGATATCTCCATGTCACTCATCTTCAGCTTGCTGAGCAGGATGGTGCAGTTCTGGACCCGGCGTCCATCGATCAATGAGTTCACCTTCTGCTTTGCTGGCTTGCCGCCAGTTGCACGCAGAACCTTATAGGAGCAATCGGTAGCCTGTGAAAAGAGAAGAGAGCATTAAATAAGGAAAGATCTTTCATTGGAATCTCTTCTAGACACTCACCGATACCGCATTCTTTTGGTAAGCCTAGAAGAATTTGTCTATTGACTCCAACTCCGTGTTGTTATACAGCTTGCTTTCGTTAACCTCGCTCTAGACGGTGCCCTGGAGCTTGGCATCCGGCAGTTTGGACCAGAAAGGCTCTTTAATGGATTCGGTCCCGTTCTTAACAAAACAATACAATTTGTGAAAAATGATCTAGTCATACAGCAAGAAGCTTGTGAAAATGAGCTGGTCACACTACAAAAAGTTTTAAATATAAGGTTGACTAACTAGCTCTTTTCTAGCTAAATTTAAAGCTCTGCTACAATATAGCTAAAGGGACAGCTCTATTTTGCACCTCTTGCACTAAAATTAATCCGCTTTCTGTGGTTTCTGTTCGCCTGGTACTTCAGATCCAAAAATGAATGATTTTGTACTGAAATTGTCGAGATCGAAGCATTTTTTTGCCTACAACAACAACAAACAACAGCAAAAACTACTACTACAAAAACAACAAAAAGTACAACAGCAACAACAACAAAAACAAGAGAACATATATTAATTTTACCACCAAAATTTGAATTAGATAGCGTTGTTAGCTAAAACCAAACCCTTACTAACTTTAGTATAGCAATAAACTTTCATTAATTTGCGTTGTCTTATATTTTTGATTTTTATTTTACTTATCCAGAAATCAAGTTACATATATTAAAATATTGTTGTCAAAATTGTTGCTGTAAAAAATATATAAATGTATAATCATCGATAGTTGTAAAAAACATCGATATTTCTCCACCCATAATATGCTGCCGGAGTCGGTCACACTGCTGCTGCTGGCATTATTTATATTTTTGCAAGTTTCGATTATAGCTTCATTTTTGTAATTTATTGAGTTGGAAAGGAAATACATAAGCTATGGAGCGGCCCCAAAAGATGCCCAAGGTGGCCAAGGTGAGTGTGGAGGATGGAGTGGACGGGCAGCTTGAAAGAGAGTCCTATTTCATCACATCGTTTGTTTCCGCTTTTATTAGGTGAAGAACAAGGCACCGGCGGAGGTGCAGATTACGGCGGAGCAGCTACTCCGTGAGGCCAAGGAACGCGACTTGGAAATCCTGCCGCCGCCGCCAAAGCAAAAGATCTCCGATCCTGCCGAGCTGGCCGATTACCAGCAGCGCAAGCGAAAGACATTTGAGGACAATCTGCGTAAGAACCGCATGGTCGTCAGCCACTGGATCAAATATGCGCAGTGGGAGGAGCAGCAGCAGGAGATCCAGCGGGCGCGCTCCATTTGGGAGCGGGCGCTGGACAACGAGCACCGGAACGTGACGCTCTGGCTAAAGTACGCTGAGATGGAGATGAAGAACAAACAGGTGAACCATGCCCGCAACCTGTGGGATCGTGCCGTTACCATAATGCCGCGCGTCAACCAGTTCTGGTACAAGTACACCTACATGGAGGAGATGTTGGAGAACGTGGCCGGGGCGCGGCAGGTATTTGAGCGCTGGATGGAGTGGCAGCCGGAGGAACAAGCCTGGCAGACGTACGTGAATTTCGAGCTGCGCTACAAGGAGATCGATCGAGCGCGCGAGGTCTATGAGCGCTTCGTCTATGTGCATCCGGACGTCAAGAACTGGATCAAGTTCGCTAAGTTCGAGGAGTCCCACGGCTTCATCCATGGCGCGCGGCGTGTCTTTGAGCGGGCGGTGGAATTCTTCGGGGACGAGTACATCCAGGAGAGACTGTTCATTGCATTTGCCCGCTTCGAGGAGGGCCAGAAGGAGCATGACCGGGCGCGCATTATCTACAAATACGCGCTGGACCACCTGCCCAAGGACCGAACCCAGGAGCTATTTAAGGCCTATACCATACACGAGAAGAAATACGGCGATCGGGCTGGCATCGAGGACGTGATCGTTTCCAAGCGCAAGTACCAGTACGAGCAGGAGGTGGCCGAAAATCCCACCAACTACGACGCCTGGTTCGACTACCTGCGCCTCATCGAGGCGGAGGGTGAGCGCGACCAGATCCGCGAGACGTACGAACGTGCCATTTCGAATGTGCCGCCGGCGAACGAGAAGAACTTCTGGCGGCGCTACATCTATCTGTGGATCAACTACGCCCTGTACGAGGAGCTGGAGGCTGAAGATGCGGAGCGCACGCGCCAAATATACAAAACCTGCCTGGAGCTGATACCGCACAAGCAGTTCACATTCAGCAAGCTGTGGCTGCTCTACGCCCAGTTTGAGATCCGCTGCAAGGAGTTGCAGCGGGCGCGCAAGGCCCTTGGCCTGGCCATTGGTATGTGTCCGCGCGACAAGCTCTTTCGCGGCTACATCGACCTGGAGATCCAGTTGCGCGAGTTTGAACGCTGCCGGCTGCTGTACGAGAAGTTCCTGGAGTTCGGACCAGAAAACTGTGTCACATGGATGAAGTTCGCAGAGCTGGAGAACCTCCTGGGCGACACGGAGCGGGCGCGGGCCATCTTCGAGCTAGCGGTGCAGCAGCCGCGTCTGGACATGCCGGAGCTGCTTTGGAAGGCGTACATAGACTTCGAGGTGGCCCTGGGCGAGACGGATCTCGCCCGGCAGCTCTACGAGCGGCTGCTAGAGCGCACACAGCACGTGAAGGTCTGGATGTCATTTGCCAAGTTCGAGATGGGCCTCAACCATGGTGACAGTGGCCAGGACGCCGAGCTGAACATGCGACTGGCGCGGCGCATTTACGAGCGCGCCAACGAGATGTTACGCCAGCTGGGCGACAAGGAGTCGCGTGTCCTGCTGCTGGAGGCCTGGCGTGACTTTGAACGGGACGCAGCCTGCGATAATCAGGCGTTGCAGAAGGTGCTGGACAAGATGCCGCGTCGCATCAAGAAACGGCAAAAGATTGTCTCAGACGATGGCGTCGAGGAGGGCTGGGAGGAGGTCTTCGATTACATCTTCCCCGAGGACGAAATGGCTAGGCCCAATCTCAAGCTCCTGGCCGCTGCCAAGATGTGGAAGAAAAAGAAGGACGTCACGGAGGACGACGTACCTGCTGTACCTGCTATTTCATCGGATCCAGAGCCAGTAGCATATGGTGAGGCTGAAGATGCGACAACTGGCAACGACTGATCCACAGTCTCTGGCATTCCATCATGCAAGAAAAGCACGTCCTTGGTCCGTCACGAATAAAGTTGAATCGATTAAAGACAGCACAATGTGTCTATTAAACGGTGATGTTCGCTGTAGTTAAGGGGTGCTCTAATTATCTTCATCTTCATCTTCCATTTCAGCAGCTTTCTAGCTTACTTCACCCTTACGAGGAGCGTGAATACGGAGTAGGTGAACCTCATGACCTGAAAGTAAACTAAACATTAGAGTTGGACTATCGTTTGTGGTATTATTAAGGACTTTTACCTCTTCGAACGTCTCCAATGAGAGTGATATATAGTTTCCGGCAAAGATCATTGATGGCCTTTGCGTCCTGGCCAACGTGAAGAGCAGGTCCTGCTTGAACCTGGGCAGTTGATCCACCCAGTTGCAGGCGTAGAAGGCGTCGCACAGGGCCTCGCTTTGCGACCGCATCCTGTCGCCAAAGTAGCAGATAATGAACACCTCAAGAGTGACTGCAGCAAAAAAGACGATCGACAAGATCATGGCGGATAGATCGTTGTCATCCACCACATACAGGAAATGCATTGCCACGGTGCACTGGACGGCAGCGGAGCAGGCGAACTGGGCCATGCAGGCCGCGGACAGGATGCGCTGGATGATGCTGCGCAGCCGGTAGATCAGGATCAGATCCTGAATACACTCGATCAGCTTCGTGTGCATCTGGCGTTGCCAGGCCTCACCGTCCCCGCTCCCGGACCATCTTGGCTCCATTACATCAGTCGAATCATAGCCAATCCGACGCACCCGCAGCTCCAGGGCACGCATGTGGCCAGTGAGCAGGCAGAGATAGGCCGGCGGAAACGAGTCGCTGGCACAGTTCTGCACGGCCTGGACGATCAGGCCGAAGAGCTGGTAGATGTAGATGACGACGTAGGCCCTGGTCGAGCGTTGCCAGTCCACGCCGAACCAGGCCGGGTACAGGAGCTGGCGTTCCGGCGCGATGGCCACCCGGATGCAGCTGAGTGTGGTTCCGAACACAAAGATGCGGGCAAAGTAGCGGAAGCCGCTCTTGGCAATCTCCACCTCGCTCCGCAGCGCAGCCAGCTCCTCTGGATGGCCCACCTCCTTGGCCCTGGCGTCCAGGCGGCGTAGCAGGACGCGGATTTCGTGCAGCTGCTCCCGCACTAGATACACATTGACAAACTTCAGATTTGCTACGATGTCCGTGATGGTTATGGTCAGGTTCTCGCACATCTCCTGCATGTTGTGCGTGAAGAATAGTCGGGCCATCAGGCTCAGCGGAAACAGGATGGTAACCACCACATTGATCAAGATCGCGTAGACCGCATATATCACGCCAGAGATGCCCTTGGGCCGCATCAGTCCGGTTAGCTCCCAAACTCGCCAGTGGTAGTGCACAGCACTGTGAGTGTCCAGCTCCGGCTGTTCCTGTTCTGCGTCCGTCATGATCCCACGTGCCTTTGGATTCTTTCATTCCTTTGTCTCACTTTTATACTCCTCCAGTTTGGATTTTCGGTCATTACATAGCTCAAAGTTTTGGCTAAGTGGCTGGGAACATGGACCTGGCTTGGCCGGAATAATGATGCCCCAGGAAAGTTGTGTCCATATTTGTTTAATGTTTGAAATCTTTCACTTTATTCTGCATTCGGCATTCATTTGGGGGTGGAGGCATGAGTGGTGGTGGGGAGGTAGGGAGGAGTTGGTCTTGTGCTGTGGTGTAAGTGGTATGAATCAACTAACAGCTGGGCGCCTACAGAGCACCTGACAAGTAGGGTCAAGGGGCCAAGGTGCTTAAATATTTAGTCTCGAAATCCCTATTACGACTACCTGAGAGAGGGTCAAGTGCCGGCACCTCCTTGTCCTCTGAGTTACGAGTCGGCGTCGTCGTCGTCGTTCCCCAAGTCCGAGGTCTTAGAACTACCACAGCTACTCCTCCTTCTGTTTCTCTCCTAATTTGTGAGGATAATATTGCTAATAAGGGTTCTCCTGTTAACTGATTCTATTTGTTTGGTGCTACTGCTACGTGGTCCTCACTATCCGAGTTTAGTATTTAATTGGGGAAATTTCTACCATTTATTACTATCATTTACGCATAATTCTCTCGCTAAATGAGGCTACGTTCAGGGTTACTTGTCAGGTGGATAGATGGATGGTCTTTTGGGATCTACACATGAAGGGAGGTGTGTACGCCTAAGTGTATGTACACCGTGCTTGATCACTCTGGATCAGTGATAAATCTATTCTATGGGCAGGAAAAGATTCGGGAAGGGATATTGGACGGGGGGGGTAGAAAACACAAAAACAAATCCTTAGATGCACACCATCGAGAACACGTTCACAGTTTGATCTTCTTAATTTGTAATTTTTAAGAATTAATTTAAAAATACAATCAAGTTTTGTAATAATCCAATGTTTACAGAGTGAATTTTGCCCGAGCACTTGGACAAGCACTGCTCTTTCTCTACTCCATCTCTCTATTGGCGAACAAGCACTCGGGCAGGGAATATTTAATAATAATCATATAATTATTTATATAAATTTATATAGGCATATATGTAGCTAAGAGCGTATAAGGTATTGTGTACAAATCAAGTATAGATATTGCATCAGCTTGGGCTGGGTAAAATATGATCTTTGAGTGGGGATACAGCGATTTAAACAACGCCTCTCTCCTTCTTTACGTTACGATTAGGTTTAATATTAATACAATTTATTATGTTACTCTAAAGTACGTTACGTTACGTTACGTCACATTTAACAATCATCGTTAGCAAAAAGGTGAGTCGCGCTATCAAGTTTAGTTTATCATTAAACAAAAATCATGATAATCGTTAAGCTTTATCGATACAATTTAACATAAACACGATCATTCGATCATCATCCAGATGCTGATTGATGTGGCGATCACCGAAGGCTATAAACATTATTACATTTCTCATTGGATATCCCTTCTTTGTATTTCTTGTAAGCTCAGTTCTCAGTCGCAAAAGAACGTGTGACGTGCGGATCCGTGCGTCGACCCGATCGATATTGATTCGGTTTGATTTGATTTGATTCGGTTCTTGGATTCAGATTCAGATTCGGATTCGGATACGGATTCGTTTTCGTTTTTGGGTTTGCATTGGCTGCCTAGGGATTTGGAATTGTAGCATCTTTAGCAGCGCTTTCGGCCTTAGGGGCGGCGGCGGCGCTCTGATTTGAATTTGCGTTTTTGTCTTTGTCTGATTTGGCATCCTGCAAAAGAAATACGAGGAGTAATGCCAACGGTTTCAATCACAATCGTTTTGTTTTCAAATTTTAATAAGCGTTGTATCGTTTAATCGTTATTTTTAACTTTAAAAATGTCCAAGCCTGTTCCAGTTTCCACGAGACCTTTGCGAACGAACCTCTGGCTCGGATTCCGATTCATTTTGTTTGAATATTCGAGGCTGTTCGCAAAGGACTACAGTCGAGCTTCTCCCAATCGAAGTATTTGTAATCGAGGGGGAACTCGATTCCATTCAAATATGATTTATAATTTGGTTATTCAAAAACGGACAAACGGACGAACAAATTGTAATGCTCTAACTTCTCTGGGAGAACCTCAACTGGTTGTGCTTTAGGTAATAATATAAATATATTCATTGGAAACAGGAACAGCACAAGCTTGTACTTGGGAACTCGGTTAATAAACAATTAGTTGTATATAATGTTTTATTTATGTATTTAAAATGAACTGAAGGATGCAACTTCGACGGCTGCCACAGGAAAAAGACCAAATGAATATTTACAAAAATGAAATTTAAAAGTGGCAACCATGTTTGCAAACTGTTAAACATTCCAGCTATCCCAGAAGGATTCGACTGGAGATTGGACCAAGTAAATGTATGCCCAATAGATGGATTTCTCTTTTGCGGATTTGAATTTGTGGCAAGCGAAGGGACAGGTCCCAACCTGCTGCACCGGCGGTGGCAACCCGGTTGAGTGCAGCAGGTTGCGTCTTATCCGCCTCCTCTGTCTCTCTTCTCTCTGTCTCTCTCTCTCTTTCTCTCTCTCTCACTTTCTAGCTTTCATCCTGTCTATCTTTCTGGTTGTTCTTCTCCTCCTACCTACAAGAAAGACGGCAAAAGGTAGGGGAATGGGGATGGGAATGGGATTCGGCTCGTGCTGCAACCCGACTCCGGATCGAAACGACACTGTACCAGGAGGCAGGTTACATCCACGTACGCCATCGGGTGGGGACCCCTCTTCGAGAAAGCGGAAGAAACGAAAAGGAAGTCAAGCAATGCTTACCTTCGCCATGACGCTGGCCGCCTCCTGCTTGAGATACTCCTCCCGGGCCGTCTCGTAGAGAGCCACAAACTTGTCGCGCTGCACCTTGAACTGCGCGAACAGGTCGTCGTCCTTGTGGCCCTTCAGCCGGTTCTCAATGTCCACTTTCTTGGTATGCTCCTCGCGAATCTCCTCGGTCACCCATGGCTTGTCGATGGGGTACTGGTTGATCAGATTCTTCAGCGTCCGAATGCTGCTCTTGCCCTTAACCGCCTGCTTTATCAGCTGGGGATTGGGCTTCTTGATCCGCCCGCCGTTCATGTTCATGGGGCCCATGAAGGGTCCGTTGGGCGGTGGCATGCGCGGCGGCATCCGCGGGCCCATCATATGCATTGGCGGTGGAGGAGGGCCACCCATCGGTCCCATAGGGCCGGGTCCAGGTCCACCGGGGCGCGGTCCCCGCGGGCCCCTCATGAAGTGTTGTGGCGGCAGCGGCGGCGGTCCACCCATTGGAGGCATAGGGCCTCGCATGCCTGGCATGCCGGGCTGGAAGGGCATCGGTGGGAACGGGGGCATCGGTCCGAGCCCGCCGCGTGGTCCTGGCCCCATTGGCCCCATTGGACCCATTGGCGGCATCATATGGCGTCCGGGTGGCCTGTTTGGCGGGGGTCCCCGTTGGAAACTGCCGTTGAAGCCGCCGCCACGGTTGGGGCTCATTTGCTGCTGTATCGGGCCCGGAAAGCGCTGCTTTTGCTGCCAGTCCCCAACGCCACCGCCACCGCCACCGTTGTGGTTGTTGCTGTTGTTGTGGCCGTTCATCTGGTTGTTGAATTGCTGCTGCTTGTTTTGGTTGCTTTGATTATTCTTGCCCTGCTGCTGGAACTGCTGCTGCTGCTGCTGCTTGTTGCCCTTCAGTGGCTTCTTCTTGGGACTCTCGTTGGAGTTGCCCATGTGGTGGTTCTGGTTCTTGTTGCCTGCTCCTGGGCCAGGGCTGTTGAAGTCAATGTACAGCGGATCGGGCATCTGGCACGAGTTGTACATCATCTGGCCCCCGCTGTTGCTGTTACCATTGTTCCCGTTCCCATTGCCATTGTTGCCAGGTCCTCCTCCGCCGTTATTGTTGGTATTATGGTTGTTATTGCTGTTGTTGTTGTTCCCCGGACGGAAGGGTTTTCTGTATGGAGCGGCGGCGTTGCGGGCATTGTTCTGCCGCTGCTGCTGGGGACTTTGCTGTTGCTGTTGGTAGTACTGCTGCTGCTGTTGGAACTGCTGCTGTTGCTGGGGGTACTGCTGCATCCCCCAGTTTTGCTGGTGCTGTTGCTGAAATTGGTTTTTCGACACCATTACGCGGCTCGTGGCTCGCTGCGCACTTGGTGGCCCCGGGGCGAACTCGAACACTAAAGACAATGCGGCGCGACACACGGTACGGAACAAAGCGCAGTTGCGCTTGGAAAATTCACTTTTCTACACGCGTTTTTCGTTTACAAAAGGAAAAAATAGTATTGGTTACGATTTTACTAGCGAGGAGAGACAACCACAAACACACGAGCGATGAAAATTCTAGTGACGCCGATAAGCCGATAGGCGGCTAGATTGGCAATGTGTGTATACCGGTGACCTTTTCTTATCAGAATTTCAAACAAGTGCAATTAGTGATGGGAATCGTGGAGCAGAGCTTTCTGGGAATTCAAATCATAGAAAATCAAGATAATCAATAGCTGTAACTGCTATAACAACTCACACCAATCAACTGGCCAAAAGAGACATTTGGATACTTGTTTAAATGCGTTATCAACAAAGTTAGTATTTTTCTTTTTCGTGCTCTCTGCAAACTGTTTTGTTTGTCCATTTGCCGATAAAAGTATTGCCGCGGTGTTATCGATAGCTGATGCCATCGCTAAAGCGCAGCACGTGTAAATCAAATGTTTGCGGCTGAGTAAAGAAGTAAACATGGGCAAGAAAAAACACAACGCCAAGGCGCGGCAAAATCCGGAAACGATTGTGGACAACTCGGCCGTGAAGAAGGTAACTCTGGTCCCTGACGACAGGCACCTCTTACTAATCCTCCCATTTGCGTTACAGATCCAAATCGATGTTGATGCAGTTGCTGGGACCAACCAGGCGGGCTATGATGAGGCCAACGCTCTGGTGCTGCCCTCCGAGAAGCGGGCCACCAAAATCAAGGTGGACAAGGTGCAGCACGTGAAGATTCTCTCCAAAAAGCAGCGCAAGCACCTGCAGGCAATTGTGGACAAGAAAAAGAAAAAGGAAGGCGTAAGTTGCTTTGAGGCATTATTGTTAACACACTGACTTACCAATCGTATTTCTGTTGCAGCGCGCTCAGCTTCTAGCTGATCTAGCCTCCGTGCAAATCCCCGAGGCGGAACTGCAGCAGTACACCTCCATTAGCCAGGTGCAGACGGTAGGCCTGAAGCGCCTGCCCACGCTCGACGAGTACCTGGCCAAGAAGAAGGCGCGACAGGCGCAGGTGCTGGCTGAGAAGAGCTCAGGTGTCAGACGGGTAAACGCTATCAAGGGATCCAAGCGCAAGCTGCTTGCCGAGGAGCAAGAGGAGCTTGATGCCAAGCGCCGCAATCCGAATGTAGTAAGCTTAGAGGAGGACGACGACGATGACGACTCTTCTAGTAGTGACGAGGATGAGGCACCGCCACTTCCAACCACTGTCCCTGCTCCCATACCCGCTCCAGTGGCTGCTCCACCAAAAGTCCAAGCCAAGCCCGAAGAAAAGAAAACGAAGGAGGCACCACCAACGCCTGTCTGCACCCACCAAACCGTTTACGTGCCTGTGCATCGGTCCAGCGAGGTGCAGGAGGCCCGCCTGCGGCTGCCCATCCTCGCCGAGGAACAGGAGGTGATGGAGACCATCAACGAGAACCCCATTGTGATTGTGGCCGGCGAAACGGGCTCGGGCAAGACAACGCAGCTGCCGCAGTTCCTGTACGAGGCGGGGTATGCCCAGCACAAGATGATCGGCGTGACAGAGCCCCGGCGGGTGGCCGCTATTGCCATGTCTAAGCGAGTGGCACACGAAATGAATCTGCCAGAAAGCGAGGTCTCTTACCTAATCCGATTTGAGGGCAACGTGACGCCGGCCACGCGCATCAAATTCATGACCGACGGCGTGCTCCTTAAGGAGATCGAAACAGACTTCCTGCTAAGCAAGTACTCGGTGATCATTCTGGACGAGGCGCACGAGCGTAGCGTCTACACAGACATCCTTGTGGGTCTGCTCTCGCGGATCGTGCCTCTGCGCCATAAGCGTGGCCAGCCCCTGAAGCTGGTTATTATGTCCGCCACGCTGCGTGTCACCGATTTCACAGAGAACGCGCGTCTGTTCAAGGTTCCGCCGCCGCTGCTGAAGGTGGAGGCACGCCAGTTTCCGGTGACCATTCACTTTCAGAAGCGCACGCCCGACGACTACGTGGCGGAGGCCTATCGCAAGACCCTGAAGATCCACAATCAGCTGCCCGAGGGCGGCATCCTCATCTTCGTCACGGGCCAGCAGGAGGTCAACCAGCTAGTGCGTAAGCTGCGACGCACCTTTCCCTTTCACCCTCCATCGTCATCAGCCAAGGACCGCCCAAAGGCTGAGGAACACACAGAGACTCCTGCTGAACCTCAGGTGGCGGCGGGAGGTGCAGATGTTGAGACGGAGGACCCGAAGGAGCTGGAGTTCGACATGAAGCGCACTATACGCAACATGCGCAAGTCCAAGAAAAAGTTCCTGGCTCAGATAACTTTGCCGAAGATCAATCTGGATGACTACAAGCTGCCGGGTGACGACACGGAGGCGGATATGCACGAGCAGCAGGACGAGGAGGAGCAGGAGGATCTGGTGTTAGAGGACGACGATGCCGATGGCGAGGCGGGTCCTATCTCCGGTAACAGCCGACCCCTCTGGGTGCTGCCGCTGTACTCCCTGCTCTCGTCGGAGAAGCAGAACCGCATCTTCCAGCCCGTCCCCGATGGGTGTCGCCTGTGCGTGGTGAGTACGAATGTGGCGGAAACTTCACTGACCATTCCGCACATCAAGTACGTGGTGGACAGCGGCCGCCAGAAGACCCGTCTCTACGACAAGCTGACTGGCGTGAGCGCCTTCGTGGTCACGTACACGTCGAAGGCGTCGGCGGATCAGCGGGCAGGTCGCGCGGGGCGCATCAGCGCCGGCCACTGCTACCGCCTGTACTCGAGCGCTGTCTACAACGATTGCTTCGAGGCCTTCGCCCAGCCGGATATCCAGATGAAGCCCGTCGAGGACCTCATGTTGCAAATGCGCTGCATGGGCATTGACCGCGTCGTGCACTTTCCTTTTCCCTCGCCGCCAGATCAGGAGCAGCTGCAGGCCGCCGAGCACCGGCTGACCGTGCTGGGTGCTTTGGAAGCCAGAAAGTCATCAGAGAAGACGGACTTGCCACCGGCTGTAACTCGTCTCGGCCAGGTCATCTCCCGGTTTCCAGTGGCGCCGCGGTTCGGCAAGATGCTGGCCCTGTCTAACCAGCAGCAGCTCTTGCCCTACACCGTCTGTCTGGTGGCTGCCCTCTCGGTCCAGGAGGTACTCATCGAGACGGGCGTGCAGCGGGACGAGGATGTGGCACCCGGCGCCAATCGTTTCCACCAGAAGCGTCAAAGCTGGGCGGCCAGCGGCAATTACCAGCTGCTCGGTGATCCCATGGTCCTGCTTCGGGCTGTCGGAGCCGCAGAGTACGCTGGTTCCCAGGGTCGTCTGCCAGAGTTCTGTGCTGCAAACGGTCTGCGTCCGAAGGCGGTCAGCGAGGTGCGAAAACTGCGCGTTCAGCTGACCAACGAGATCAACCTGAACGTTAGCGATGTGGAACTGGGTGTGGATCCGGAACTCAAGCCGCCTACGGATGCCCAAGCGCGTTTCCTGCGCCAGATCCTGCTGGCCGGCATGGGTGACCGGGTGGCCAGAAAGGTGCCGCTGGCCGACATTGCCGACAAGGAGGAGCGGCGGCGGCTCAAGTACGCCTACAACTGCGCCGACATGGAGGAGCCGGCCTTCCTGCACGCCTCGTCCGTGCTACGCCAGAAGGCGCCCGAGTGGGTCGTCTATCAGGAAGCCTACGAGCTGCAGAACGGCGACGCCACCAAGATGTTCATACGCGGCATCACGGCAATCGAGCCGGAGTGGCTGCTCCTCTATGTTCCCCTCCTGTGCAATGTACGCGAGGTGCGCGAAGATCCTGCTCCACGGTATGATGAAGCCTCCGGCCGGATATTCTGCTACGTAGATGCCACCTTTGGCAAGGCCGGTTGGGATCTGCCGCTTGGCGAGGTAGAGATGCCGCTCAGTGAGAAGGCCTGCTGGTAAGTGTTCTTATTGTCCGTGAATTGTGCGACGCACTGAACTCTCTCCTCGATTATTCCAGTTACTTCGGCATGTTCCTGCTGGAGGGCAAGGTTTGCTCCAAGCTGGCCGAGCTCCGCGGCAAGCTCAAGTCGACTCCGGCCTCGCTGATCAAGAGCTGGTCCAGCATGAACGACAAGGTACTGCGATTCAAGCGAGCGCTCATCACCAAGCAGATCCACACCCGCCAGGCGTTGTTCGATGAGTTCCGGAAGGATTCCCACTGTAAGTATAGCTGTGTAGTGTCCTTTGAACTCACTGACTCTGTAACATCTCTTTCTGCAGTCCTTCTGGAGGAGTACCAGAATCTGCTCTACGACGTGGCCCTCAGCGAGCTGACTCCTTGGTGGCCGCCGCTGGACAAGAGTTAGTTGCCTATTTTTTGTATAACAAGTTTCATTTATTATTTATTTAATTGATATACATATATATATATACATGTATATATATGTATATACATATATATATATATAGATTTATATAATTCGTTTATGTATAATATAAATATGAAATTGGTTTTAAATGGAACTAAACACAAGAATGGAGTGTGGAGTGGCGAGTGGGGTCAATAAGGGGATCGCTTTGTTAACAGCTAAGTTTGGATATTAATTAAATACAATCCATATTATATGTACATAGCAAATATATGTGAAATATTGAAATTATTATATTGTAATTTGTAATTTTGTATTTGTTTATAGTTTGTAATTTGTAGTTTGTATCTTGTATCTGTTGGTTGGGTTCCTCTCTTGGTTTCTGGGTCCAACTAATCCCTTCCTTCCTTTCGGTTGTGTCTATGAGAGATTTGGCTAATTGGGGCATGTGGCTAGGCTGTATATATATATATATATATATATATATAGTGGCTAATAGCTGTATATATATATATATATATATATATATATATATGTATATATATACGCATCGAACGATCATCGTTTAAGATTCGGACTTGGAGTGGCTTTGTTCGAGTGCTCCTCCTTCTCTTTCTCTCTCTCTATCTCTATCTCTATCTATCTCTCTATGTACATGATGTAAACCTTTAACAGTTTTGGGGATCTTGGGACTCGGTCTTGCTGCAGCTCGTCCTCCTCCTCCTTGGGTGTGTATGTGTGTATTTTTGTGTGTGTGTGTGTGTGTGTGTGTGTGTGTGTGTATGTGTGTGTGTGTGTGTAGAAAAAATCAGTCTAATATATTAAGGCAACGTGAGAGCTTTACATCGTCGTCATCCTACCCGTCCTCCTCCTCGCTAATCCCCCTCCCCCCCCCATCATGACCGCTTACACCTAGGAATCGTGTGTAATATCTTATAGTTTCTTTTTTTGTAACTGCATCCTACATCCGAAGTTCGCCCCTTAAATCGCTTGTGTCCTTGGATCTCTACGCTTTAACAATCATCAATTTTGGTATTCTTTGTGTCTCTGTGGGTGTCGTGTGTGGCGTAGTCGTTAACATTAACCTTTAACTTTAGGGTCTAAGCTATATAACTAACTGTTACAATATACATATATATATATATATATAAATTCTTTGTATATAGGTTTTAGGTTCGCTTAATGTTTTCGTACTATTTATGTATATATATGTATATATTGGCTAGCAAGAGGAGAAAGAGACCGAAGAACGAAGAACAAGAACGAAGTAGGTAATGCTTGAAAGAAGCTTTGAGTTTCGGTTCGGGGGTTTCCCCTTTTTTTTTACAATTCGCAAAGTTACAACAATTATGCAAATTGGATATATGTATACATATATATATATATATATACACTCGCTCCTTCTATATGCTGAGTATGATCTATATAACTGTCGCTTAAGACTAACAAATTGAATTATTTGCTTCGCTTCTTCTACCCTCCTCGACTCTCTTCTCGTTTCAGTGTTATTTTAGGTGTAGGTTCTTATATCCCTAGATATACATACCCTAAACGCAGTCGTTTTATAAACTTTACTTTGATTTCTTGGAAGTGTTTCGCATTTTTGTTGCTTTTCCCTCCTCCACGGAGCGTGGAGGAACTGGGCGCGGACACGACGGGGGAGGACGAGAACACACAGTGCGTCCTGTAGTGGGGAAGCCCGAAGCAGGGTACAGGGGATGGGAGTGGCCATCCGCTGTCTGCTCTTTGCTGATATGTATTACAAGGTTGTGTGTCCCGCGTGGCCCCCATATTCCGTGTCCGTGTCCTTGTCGAGGCGTCGGTGTGTTTGCTTGGCAAACAAATGCAAATGACGGTCAGCCTAGACCGTTGTCCCCGTTCCCGTCGCTGTTTCCTCGCTTTCGTCAGTAACATCGCCGTGGGAATTTTCTTCGGGCGTCTTAGGTGCTGTCTTGGCAGAGTCCTCCTCCTCCTTCTCCTCCTCTTGACTGAGAGAGGGGCAACTCGATTTGGAACTGGAGTTGGAAGCGAGCTCTGCAGGAACGGGGCTAGGCGGAGGTGTGGTTGGAGCTGGCTGCTTCTCTGGCTTGGAGACGGTCACCTCTTCCAATTGGGTCTCTGCGGGTTGGGTTTTGGTTTCCAGTGCGGGTGCAGATTCTGTTAAGGAATCGGTTATGGGCTCGGTTACAGGCTCGGGTACAGGTTCCGTTGGCGACATAGTTTCTGGCTTTGTCTCCGTATCCGGCTCCTTGTCCTTTTCTAGTTCCGGCTTGGCCTCATCTTCAGCTTCGTTGGCAGTGACAGTGACTGTGACAGTGTCTGTGGCTTCCGCCGTCTCCTCGTCGGACACCTCCTCCTGCCGATAAGCGGCGACGGCATCGTCCAGCTTTTGGAGCAGCTCTGGCGACAGCTCGCCCACCTCGTCCAGGTTGCGCTTGTTGTTGTCCGCTATCACCTTCCACATATTTACCAGCCTGTTGAAGTTCATCAGGTCGAGCGACGGCAACGGAATGGCACGAGTGGCCAGCGTGTCCTCGTCTTCGTCCTCGGAGCTACTGCTGCTCACTGCTCGGATCTTGGCCTTGTGCGATTTTGAGGGACCTCTGGTATCTCCAGCGCCTCCTGCGCCCGCTGTGGCGACGGAGCCACCGCCTCCGATAATGGGCGTGAGGCCGGCAAGCTTCAGCTGCATGTTGTACTCGTGGAACTCGCGTTGGATGGAGCTGCGCCGCGAGTTGGCCATCTCCTCGGAACTGCCCATGATCTGGTTGTACTCCCGAAGTCCCAGCTCCTCAACGGGCACGTAGTGCTCGCCGATCTCCACCAGGTAGACGCATCGGTTGACATGCGACCGGAAGCGCATGTCCTTGTGGTTGGGCGTCCAGCAGTGCACCACATGACCTACCATGCCGGCACTGGGCTCCCAGTCCTTCCACGACAGGCGGCCGCCGTTATTGCGCATCCGTTCGCTAGGCCACACGACAGCATCGATGATGTCCAGGCAATCGTAAATCTGTCGGAAGAATCGGGCTTAGAAATGGCTTCCAAACTGGAGCATCCTTCCATGGCTACTCACCCCGTGTCGTCCACAATGATGACCTTCTTGAAGATTTCGATGCGCGGCTTCCAGCTGCTGCCCGTCCCTAGGCCCAGTCCCAGACCCGGTCCTGTGCCTGTGCCTGTGCCAGCACCTGCTCCCGTTCCTGCTGTCACTCCAGAGCCCGAAGTGGCCGAGTCGCCGCCGCTGCCACCCAGAGTTGTGGAGGTGAGGCAGATGGGACCCTTTGTCTTCCGTGGATAGTCACCGGGCGTCGTGATTATATTGCCCAGGCCTAAGCCCATTCCGGGGCCAAGGCTGCCGTACGATGAGGAGAGCTTGGCGCTGCGCGGACTCGTCTCGTGCTCCACCTGCGTCTGGGGGGTGACCAGCTCCTTGCCGGACTCAGCACCGCCGCCGCCTCCTGTTCCTCCGCTGGCAATGGGCAGCGTGGCGCGACGTTCGTGGTCCCTTCCCCGACTGCTGCCTAGCTGCTGCTGCTGCAACTGGCTCCGGCTGCGAACTCCGCTACTGCTGGTGGCCCTGGCCGCTCCGCTGGGCCCGGATCCCGAGGAAGTCTCCTGATCACGCTCCCTGTTCAGGAGCCCTGCAATCAGTGTGGTGGATGTGGGCTTCACGGGCATCACGGCCAGACCTCCGCGCACCACCGCCAGGCTATCGCTCACATAGTTGCCGCCCAGATTGGCCGGGCCTGGCACATTGCCCGGTCGGACGCTGTAGTAGCTGTTTACGGTGAGGGTGTTGTAGAGCGGCGCCGAGATGAAGACGGGCGCCAAGTCGCCCGATTCGCCACCCGTGCTGCTGGCAGTGCCAGGTGCAGTCACTCCCAGGCCGGAGCCTGCAGAGGCGCCCACTCCGGTGGCCGTAGAGGCAGCTCCCACAACGCTTCCACCGCTGCCAAAGTTGCACGCGCCGAGCTGGATGGGGCCCGAGCCCGGATGCGGCTCCAGTGCCGAGCCCGAGCTGCAGCCCTGGCGGCAGCGTTCCCTGATGCGATGCCACCAACCCAGCACCGTCTGCCGGATGGTGTCCAGTGTGATGGCGCCACCGATCACCTGGCAGAGCTGGGTGTTCGTGTCCGCGTAGGAGGTGGTCAGGGGCGACACGTAGATGGGGTAGCCGATGGGCTGGTCGCAGCTAGAGTTGATGATGTTACGCAGCGCCTGCTTGGCGTTCTGGATGCTGCCACGCTCCGGGTTGCGGTTGCGCAGGTAGATTAGCTCCTGCTGTTGCCCGGCCCACAGGCCGCGGACGCACTCACGGTTCAGCTTGATCACACGAAAGCTAAGGAAGCGCTTCGTCAGCCGGATGATGCGGTATTCGTCCGAGCCGTCCTCCATCACGTGACGCAGGGCCAGCAGGTTGGGCGCACCGCGGAGCACGGCGCTCCGCCACACGGGATCTGCTTCGTGCGAAATGACCAGCTCCTTGGAGCAGTTGTCGATGGCCTCGTAGAGGGCGTGGGGGTCCAGGAACTCGTCCGGGTTCGTGATGTGGTCCTGCTGAAGCTTGAGCGCCATCTTGACCGCCGGCGCCACCACCGAGTGCAGCAGCTCCATGTCGGCGAAGACCCACTCGTCGCGCGGTGAGGTTATCCTGAAGTCGCCCTTGAACAGGGCGTGCAGGCCGTGCAGGAAGTACTCCACACCAGTCAGCGAGCTGTGCGATGCCGTGGCTAGGGATCGGCGGGCCAGCAGGCCCAGTGCCAGACAGAGCGAAACCAGCGGCGCCTCCTTGCCCACGCTGGCCAGCTTTAAACGGAGTGTCGGCTTCTCCTGGCTGTCCTTGCGGCTGCCTGGCATTCCCGTTCCCGCGCCGGGCACTGCTCCCGAGGCCGTGCTGCTCTTGGCCAGCTTGACGAATACTTTCTGGTCCATGTAGGCGACATAACCACCCAGGCCCGGAGCACTCTCCGATGTCTGCCGGGAGATGTTCGCAAAGCTGTGCGAGCTGCTTAGCTGCGGATCGTTTCCGCCGCCGCCGCCGCCACCGCTTACGTTGCCAGCTCCTCCGCCAGTGGACGCGGCAACGGCACCACCTCCGCCCGTCACACCTCCGCCACCCTCCTGGGCAACACTCTTTGGTGGGCGACGCAGCTGTTGCTGCGACTGGGACTTGGACTGTCCCGCGCCAGTCTGTCCGCCAGATCCACCGTGAGCCGACAAGTTGGGTGTGCTTTTGGAATCATTGTGAGCGGGCGTGACAGGCTGCGGCTGAAGCGTTGGCGGCGCTGCAGCGGCTGCCGTTGGTGGGGCGGACGATGCACCTCCTACTCCGACTCCGGCCGCAGGAGCTGATGATGTCGCATCCCGTCGCATGTCAACGCAGTAGTTGATCCACTTCAGGTACACATGGCAGAAACTAGAGCGCGTGATGCCCACCGCCCGGAAGTCAAAGTCCTCGTCCAGGTTAAAGTTAAAGATGGGATCCAGGTCGACAAACTGGCGGGCCAGCGTGTGCTGCAACGCATCCTGGATGGGCCCTGAGGCCAGCCACTGCTCTAGCTTCGGATTTCTCACCACATAGTAAATGATGCTCTGGAAAAAGGTGGAGGAAGGAGGTAGCACGGATAAGGAGGGGTTCATGAAGCGGGGAAGTGGGGGACGGACACTCACCTTGATGTAGTAGGTAATAAGCACCTTGCGGTACTCAAAGACCTGCAGCGTGGCGCTGGCGAGGTTGTCCGAAATGGAGTAGCCCTCGATCACGTACTGGGCAGCAACTACCTGCCAAGCCAGCCAGCGGGTGGAGAACATGGCGTTGGCACTGAGCAAGCGCGGCAGGTGACCGGGATCGCAGCAGCAGCAACCGTCGTTGTCCTCCACATCTTCGGTGATGGCCTCCACCTCTCGCTGCTGGCAGTAGGTGCCGCGGAACTCTAGGCCGCGCATCTGGAACGTGCATAGGCCGTTGCCCAGCTCGATGATGTGCACCAAGCAGTTCAGATCGTCGGAGGCGAGCACTGCAAGGAAAGGGAGGAGAAAGCATTAACAAATGGACACAGACACATGGAAATAGAAAAGACCTACCGAAGCAGTCGCCCTGGTTGACGTTGCCCCATCGACCCATGAGCAGGTCGCCGCATAGCGAGTGCTGCAGGGAGCGGGTGAGGTGCTCGTAGAATATGCTATTCAGATTATTGTCATCCGCTCCCAGGTCGCGCTCCAGCTGCGAGCTTAGCCTCGTGTTGGAGTGGTCGATCCGGCGCGTATTGTAGTCCCGCTCCCAGAACTTGATCGGACGCACGTACGAGGTGAGGAAGATGGCGCTGCCCAGAAAGGGGTTCAGCGGGGTGGACAGCAGGGCGGAGATGCCCGCCTGCAGGAACAGCATGGCCGAGTGAGGCACACTAAACGGCTGGGCGAAGGCATGAAAGGCGGAGCCCCACGTTATCTGCCATGGGGCGATGTACGTCACGATGAATTGCAGCTGAGGGAAGGCGTATTTCGGGATTAGGACATTGATTCGAGCGAGAGAGAGAAAGACGTACCTTCAGCAGGAAGTCGCAGCACTTGCGGAAGGCCAGCGACACGAAGAAGTAGTCAATGATGAAGGTTTCCGTGGCCATGGAGAAGTCAATGCGGAAAAGCAGTACCGTGAAGATAATGATTAGGTACTGGTTCGTTGGGTCCGAGTACGCATTCCTCACGACTGTGAAAGAGAAGGGTATATGGGATTAGTGGATGGATCCCAAGAGCGCGAGATGCGCCGACTGACTACTCACACTTGAGGGCGCAAATGGCCACGATGAGCGTGCCCCAGGGCAGACCGAACTTGGCCACGATCAGCTGCGAATCCGCTGTCAGCGAGGAGATGGCCAGCAGAGGGAAGAGTACGTTGCGCTCGAGCACGCTCAGGTAGATGTACAGCTTCTCGAACCACATGATCTGTGGCGCATTGAGCACCTCGAACTGGCCAAACTCACGCTGCCGTAGCAGCGGCCTGGCGAAGCATAGCCACGGCATGTGCTTCCGCATCTGCGGCACAGCGTAGTGCAGCAGCAGGCCCAGCACGCCGATGAAAGCGTACAGCACTACGTTGAGGTCCGGCTGCAGCGCGGTGAACACTGTGCTGCAGTGCAGCCCGAGGACACTGACCGCCAGCAGGGTCATCACCACCAGATCGTTCTTCAGCCGCGTTGTGACTGTGGCCTGCAGCTTTCGCGGCAGTGGATCGGGCAGGTCACTTGTGCTGCTTGCATTGGCATTCGGGTTCCCATTTCCGCCTCCACCTCCGCCGCCGGTGCCTCCTGTGCCGCTGCTGTTGTCACTGACCTCGGTGGTCCCGGTGCCAGTGCCCGTTCCAGGGTTATTGTTCCCCCGCTGAGGCTTATCATCGGCAGGCGCATCGTCTTCGTTTTCGCCCGGATCCGCCTCCAGGTAGGCGGGCGTGGCATCTGTTGTTGCGGTGCCTGCTCCTGCTGTCAGTGTGGACATATCACCTGGATTCGTAGCCGATGAGCTGGAGATCCTGTCCTCCGCCTCCGCTTCCGCCTCTGCTTCGTCTGCCTTGGCCGCTTGCTGGTTCTCGTAGGCCTGAAGGTCTGCCGACTGCTCCTCGATCTCCGTCGTCGCTTCCGCTCCAGCTGCAGCGCCTATGGAGGCATACGAACTGGAGGCGGTGATGGCCCGCTTGCTGCTGCTTATGGTCTTGGCCAGCGTCTGCTGACTGCTGCCCAGGGACGATGCCTTCGACTTGCTGTGCTTCTGCCCCAGGGCCATGTCCGGTTCGGTCTCAAGCTGGTCGTCCGTCGGCTCCCTTTCCGGTTGCTCCTCGGTGTTGGAAGCCAACCCATGCTCCAACGAGCTTAGCTCGATCTGCTCCTGCTCCTGCGTCTGCGCCTTCAGCTCCGTGTGGCGGCGCTGCTTGGGCGTGCTGGTAGCCAGCTGAAGCGCGGTACTGTTGCCAGCTCCAGGCTGGACGTGGCTCAGATCGTCGTCCTCGTCCTCATCGTCTCGATAGGTGCTCACGATGCAGGTCTTGATCAAACGCCACAGGTGGCTAAAGTCGCTTGCACAGCGTGACAGGTGGTAGCCCAGCGGCACCAGCATGGCGCAGAATATGGAGAACAGGATGTACTGCGTCCCTCGCTGCTCGTCCAATGCCCCATAGAGCGGGCCGTACAGCAGCATCACAGCCAGCACCGAGCGCAGCACGCACAGAAAGGAACCTGTTCGTGGAGAAAAGGGCGCATTAGTCACCGCGAACTTATCAAAAATACAAGGAGAGGAGGAGTGAAGAACTTACCCAATAGACTGCTGGCCGCATTTCCGCCAAAGACGTGCATATCGATCTGCTCCAGGAGGTACATAAGGAACGTGTTTATCTGCGGGCACAGTCCCACCGAAAAGATGATGGGGAAGCAAAGCAGCAGGATGTAGAGCGCCTGCAGCAGGAGGGCCACCACGTCGGCGGGTGAGTAGCGCATGCCAAAGAAGACCACCAGGTCCGGCGGCCGTTCTCCGTAGTCCGTGTCCAGGCGCTTCAGCAGGAGCAGCAGGCCTCCGCCCAGGCAGAAGTAAATGGCCCGGGAATAGGCCACCGTCTTGTTGAATCCGTGCACCGGGGATGCTGCGTCCGGCTGGACGCTTTTCACCAGCGAGTACTGGGCCCCGGCAATAACCGCGCAGAAGAGTAGGGCGCACAGGTCTTTGTAATGGTCGTGCTGCAGGATGGCCGCGCCCAGACAGGCCACCATTGTGCACAGAAGGCTGGCCAGGAGCACGTGCAGCCAGTGGAGGTCGCGGTCGAACAGAGCGAGCAGCTCCAGCCGGTCCATGGCTATCTTGAACTCATGCTCCTGCCCGCACAACTTGAAGCGGTACTTGTAGAAGCTCTTCGGTGCCGCCGGCTTCTCCGCCGCGGACAGGTGGCAGGCCGGCCTCCAGTAATCGCAGTAGGGCGCAAAGTGTCCATCAACGTTCAGCATGGGCTGTGAGATCTGGCTTATCTGGCTGATTTGGTTGCTAGGATGGTTGGCCAGTCCCAGGGCGCTCAGCACTCCTCCTCCTCCGCTGCCGCCGCTAGCCACTCCTCCGGCACCGCCAGCTCCGCTCATTCCCATTACGGAGGCTGATCCGGAAGCTGCCTCGCTGTTGCTCGCTGCCACGGCCGCGGCCGCGTCGCTTAGCTGCTGCAGGGCGTCGAGATGACTGCGCGCCATCTGCCGTTCGTTGCGGATCACGTTGAACAGTCCCTGGAACGAGAAGGGAGCACCGGAGGAGCCGTGCCGTCCGTTGGCGCTGCCTCCCATCAGCATGCCTATCTGCTGCTGCGTCTGCTGCTGGGTTGCAAGCGAGGTGCCGCGGTGTCCGCTGACGTTGGCATTGGCCTCCGCTGCCGCTGCCAGCTGCTCGCACATCAGTTTGGCGTCCAGGCGCAGCTTGTCCCGGGCCAGGGCCCGCTCGATGTTCGTCATGTGCTCCACGGTGGAACCGGAGGAGGGGTGGGCGCATTGGAGCGCCTGTATGGCGTCCTGGTAGAACTGGTAGTGGGCATTGGACATGTTCGGTGGCACCAGGCTGCTGCTTGCCGGAATGGGGGTGCCGTCCGCCGAAATGCCGGCAATGGGACGACCACGCTCGTCCACGGCGCCGCCGTGCATCAGCCAGAGCATCTTGTGAATGTCCGCGGTCAGACTGTCCGTCAGGCTGATGCTGTGCGTCGAGTTCGAAGAGGAAGAGTTGCGCGAGGCCAGTTTCGACTGCTTTACCAGGGCGAACTCGTTGCCAACATCGTTGGTGTCCGCCGGGGATGCGCCCCGCCTTCTCCGCCGTAGCTCGTCCACTTCGCGGTACTTCACCACCTTGGGAATGGCCCCCAGGCTCTTGGCTGCCATCTTGGACGTGCAGGGTTGCTCCTCATCCAGCAGGGATCTCGCTGGTGGCTGCTGGTGCTCCGGCTCCATGCCCGCCAGCAGCTGGTCCTTCGAGCTGGCGCTCACTTGTTCGCAGTCGCTCGATGGGCAACCCGAGTCCGCTTCGCTGCGAATGGGTGCGGGGCAGGAGGAGGAGCCGGCACTGCTGCCACAGATTGGTGGGCCAGCTCCTGGCGTAGCTGCTTGTCTGCCTGGATTTCCCGTAACGTCGCCTGCTGACGATTGCGCTCGCTGAGCAGCGGTGACCTGGAGCCGGTGTTATTATCCTCCGTCTCCTCGTCGTCGTCGTCGTTTCCGGCACTTGCGGCTCCACCTGCTGCTGCTCCTGCCGCTCTACCCGATCCCGATCTAGTCGCCGCCTTGTTTTGGTGTTGAAGATGCGGATGGCGCAGCAGGTCGCGGGTCTTGAGGACGTCGTCCAGCTGGCTGTGCGTCTGTTGCAGCTCGTTAAGGATGTGCTCCAGGTTGTCATCGAAGTCCTTGAACACATCGTCGTCGTCGTCTGCCAGGATGCCGCCAACATCGGATTCCGCGCTGTGGTGCGTTTGACTGCAGCCCAGCGCCCGTGTTCTTCTGCGAATGGGTACATCGTCCACCTCGTCGTCATCATCGGGATTGCCCTGGCCGATCCCTAGGCAGATGTCGTCATGCTCTGAGGCCTCGTGCGAAGTCTTCTCGTCCGAGTGCTCCACAATGGGGTACACCGGAGGCTCTATTAGGGCTGTAGTGGAGCCACAGGCGCTGGAGCTGCCGAAGAACAGGCTGCTGCAGGTGCTGCCAGCACCAGGCGCTCCGCCGCCGCCGGCTCCCACAGATCCAGAGCTGTTAGCGTCTCCGTAACCCTGCGTCGAATAAAGGTTCAGGTGTTGGTTTCGCACCAGACTCTTGCTGGGTGGCGGAAGGGGATTCCGCATCTGCTGCTGCCCCGATATGGCCTCTACGCTGTTCGGATGTGGACTGAGATTGGAGACCGATGGCTGCGGGCAGAGCACTTCCAAGGCGGCGCTCTTAATGCGCCTCACTCCGCCAGTTCCTCCGCTGCCGGCCGCTATGCCCACTGCTCCCCCGGCAGTGCCGCCTGCTCCGCCGCCAATCAGGGCCGATTTGATTCCCTGACCCGCCGAGCTGCCCTGCTTATGGTAGCTGGTGGCGTTGGAATGTCTACGTCGCTTCATTCCCGCAGCAGAGCTTCCTGCTCCTGCTCCGGTTCCACTTCCGCCAGCGCCACTGCCACCGGCCCCCAATCCTCCAGCGCCTTGAAGCGCACCGCCGGCCAGCTGGAGCGCAGACATTGTGCTGGTTGGATCCTTGCGGATAATCGCACCGCCCAGGTGATGATGCAGGTGGTGGTGGTGGTGGTGATGGTGATGATGCTGGGCCCGAAAAGCCGGCTGGTGCGGCTGCTCGATGCCCAGATCCGATTTGGTGTAGCTATCGTCCTCCAGGTACACATCCGACGAGGAATCTGAGGGTGAAACAACAGAATGCCTTATAAAGACGCTTCCACGCGACCTCCGAAGCTTTCTTAGCTCACCTAGTATCCAGGATTGCAGGGCTCGGGTGCAGGCGTCAGCCACGCCGCCGCTTCCTGCATTCCTGGCCAGTCCCAACTCCATGTCCTCCACATCGTTGGCACCGCCACTGCCACAGCCACCGCTGCCGCCTCCGATCACTGCCAGCGCTCCAAAGCTACTGGCCGCACTCTGGTGCGGATGGTGAAGGATCGGTAGGAAGAGGCCGCCGCGGTTCTGGTGCTTCAGCCGTTCGTCGTGCGTCTCGGAGCTGCGGTGCCGCTGTAGGCGCGACGAGCGACCGGGATTCGCTGAGGAACTCGAGGCTGGTGCAATTACCACCACGGCGGTGGAGGACGAATCTCCCACTCCTGTCGTGGCTGGTGTGCTGGCTATGAAGTGCTGGCGCGGATTGGCCTGGCCACGAGCCTTATTCGTCGGCTGGGAGTGCAGGAAAGATGGCGCCGCCGTGGCAATTGTGTCCGACTGGTTACGCATTAGCTTATGCTCACCACCGGCACCGGAACCGCCAGCCGCCGCCGCAGCGTCCAAGCTGCTCTGTCGCTCCAGTCGTCGCCGGTGCCGGCGGCTAAATACCTCGGAGCACTTCCGTGACAGATGGCCAGTTCTTACGTGCTGTACAGGTCCCATCCCAGCCATGGCATTGGCGGCTGCTGGGCCGGATCTGCTGTCGCCGCCACTACTGCCACCATCGGCGCTGCCCGCACTGCTGCCGGGCGCCTCCACCAGCTCCGGATAGACGGTGAGGTACTTGTTGAAGAGATCCGCCTGCGCGGCAGCACTGTTGGATGCGTTGGCACCACCTCCGCCCACGGCTCCCGTGCTTCGTATGGACTTGCTCACGCTGGCGGAGCCTGCGAGGGATTGCTGATCCTGTTGGCTGCCGCCGGACAGCATGGAGGGGGCGTAGAACATAAGCTCGATGGACTCCGAGCTGTTTTTACGATGCACATCGACCTTGAGATCTATGGGAGACGATGGATACATATATGGATAATCCTGCGATAAGCTGACCAGACCAGGACAGGCAAGAGACGGACTTACCAATGATACTGTTCACATTATCGATGGACATCATGCTGTTCTCCTCGCTGGCCTCGTTGATTGCCTGCTCGACGGAAATTCGTGAGCCGCCCGGCCGGATGACCTTCATCTCGATGCCGCCCTCGTCGTCGTGCCTGGGCTCCGTCTCTTTGGTGACCTTGAAGAACTGCCCCTTGAGGTTCACGTCGGACATGGTCTGGGCGCGATCGTACAGCCGATGCAGTGCCAGGTTGGCCAGTTTCACCATCAGGATGGTGAGGCTGGTGAGCACGCAGTACAGGCACCATGTCAACCAAGTGCTCGGGAAATACTACAAGACGAGAAGAGTAAGTTACTCCACTAAGCTAAGTTAAATTGATAAGGCATAGAGTTAAAACACTTACCAGGTAGGCCACGAAGGGGGAACAGAGCAAGTAGAGCCATAGGTACAGGTGCACCACGTTGCAAAAGACGCCCTGGTGCGGATCGTAGAAGTAGCCGCCGGTCAGCGAGGCCCACACGCCCTGGCGCAGTATCTCCAAGGTCTGCGAACCCATGGTGGCCTATGCTGCATCTCTCAGCTGCCGGATGGATATGAATCCACGTTGCTAGACACCTCTTGCTGCTTGTACTTCTGTCTATGTCTCTGCCTCGGCCAGTGCCTGTGCTGGCTGCTTTCGCTTACTCACAGGAGGCTGCCTGCCCTTCACTCCGCTGCGCCTCCACAACTCAGCGCGGCTCGGTTCAGCTCTCTCTTCCCGCAAGGCGTTGTGTTTCGATTGTTTTCTTTGCTGATTAAGGCCCCGAACAGTGGATTCTCAGAGCTGGATGACTGGATGACTGCAGGGCAGGAGCGGCTAGGCAAGCGGGCGGGGGCGGGGCCAGGGGCCGTGAACGGGGGCGCTCTGCTTTTTCGGGGGGAAAGCTGTGTGTGTGTGGGGCAAGGCAATGCTGCGGCTCGGGTCGCTGTGCAGCGCTGACTCTGGGACTGGCGCTCCGCCGTTGTAGGATAGCGGAATGGCGGATGTCGCGTTTTGAGGCTGTTGCGAACGAAAAATCGAATCTCGCTCGCTGTAATTTAAAAAAAAATTGCAATTTTTCTTTGTTAATTAAATCAGTGTTGCCAGGTGGCGAAAGGCAAAAATACTAGCCGATTGAGGACCTAAAACATACCAGCAGACGCACTAATATACTGCATAATACTAATTTCGTTAATCGGTATACCACTATCGATAACAAATCAGGCGCCGATTACGTGTTTTAACACTATTTCAAACTAAAATCGAAATGTAATTGAAGTATTTAAATAAATACGGGATGTTGAACTAAATTAAGCAAATTAATATAATATAATACTAAAGTGTATCACTGTCTCCAAGGAGTATGCACCGTAAGTATTCTGCTTTATTATTACAATAAAGTATGTTTTAAAACAACATATTTGATGATATTTACTACCATTTGCAAGAAGCGAGTGCTTGTGCTCGCTTTCTTTATTGAATGGTTGTGCTTATACAAATAAAGAATGGCAAAGTTGAATACCAGAAATTGAAGCACTTGAGAAGTTATTATTATCATTTAAAAACGCTAGGTACTGTGCGGTTTACCCTAAGGTGCATCTCCCTTGCTCCGGCTAAGCTTTATTTCAATTACCCATACTTAAGATACTATGTTTTAAGACTAAACAAAAAAAAATAAACAAAAATGAAGTACGTGTCTAGGGAATCACATGGAGTGGCCCGTCCATGTGCGATCGGTCCACGATCGAATCAGTCTGCGCCGCCGAGGGGCGCTGCATAGTCAGCGTTCCTCGCTGCTGCTCCCGTCGCCGCCGATGAAGTCGTCCCGCAGTCCGCCCCTGTGCTCGTAGTTGTGGTGGTGATGGATGTGCTCCTCCTCCTCCTCAAGCTCCGGCTCTGGGACAGCCGGGGGCGCCGCCGCTGCCAACGGCAGTGAATGATGATGGAAGTGCTCCTTGGTCTGATGGATCTGTATGGGACGATGATCCTCGTGGATTACCTTCTTCTCCTCCTTGAGAACGAGGGGCTTGTGGTGATGGTGGACATGCTTCACCACGGTGTGGATGTGCTTCTCAATCTTCTTGTGAATGGGCACGTGTATTACGATCTTCTTTTTTTCTGGTATCCTCTGCGGAACAGCAATTTGAAATATTGGTCAGATTATATAAAACAAATCGATTTTTAATCTATTAATCATCATCGAAGCCACCTTGTGGGGAGCTTAATCCCTAGTAATCCTACCCAGCATCCGTTTCCGGCACACAGACGAGCAGCAGAACCAGCGCTACCACCAGCGAGAGCCTCAGCAGCTGGAAACGTGTAATGGTAATGATAGTCTCCTGGATATCCTCTTGCCCACTACGTCCACTCACCAAACTGCGGTTATCCATGTCGCTTGGCTATAGCTGTAGTGTCAAAGGGGTGCTTGTGCTCCGACGATGCGGCCGCTGTTAAGGCTTCAAGTCTTTTGATTCCTGCCCCACTGCAACCATTTTATTTATACAGGCCCGCGGAATGCGCGCCGCAGCGCTGGAATACCCCATCGCCAGTTGGCGGCGCTTCCGTGCCGCAGCCCATCCAAGCTGTGGATACCAACACTGCAGCCATAGCCATGGCTGCGCATGCGCACGCGCCGAACCACAAGAAAACTGCTCAAGCTGCTCAGTGAAAAACCTGCAATTTTCATTCATTTCGGGTGGCAGCGATCATCGTGTCATGGCTTGTGGGTGGTTTCTTGCCGGTGGAGATGCCCGACAGATGGATATCATGCCGACATGGAATAATACCCTATCCCAAACTATGTCAAGTTAATCTGAAATGGAAAATAAATAAAGCTTTTCTAGATGACATATCTCAGTTGTACCATCCTTTCACTTATAATTAAATGAAGTAATCTATTCTTAATAAGAAAGCAGAAGTAGTCAATTCATTATTTTAAGGATTTGGGATATCGGAGAAAGGGCTCTGTACCAGTGGCCTATCAGAGTATTTTTTCGACAGACTCAGCCTCAATGAATGCCTGATTTGTCGGATAAATTGGGGTGATTATCTGCTCCTGGGTTTCCACCCAATTTGGCAGGGCATGGGAGCTTCGTCCCCATTGATGGCTTCCCATTCCCACTGTACTTATCTTTGTTTTTTCCGTTTTGTTTCGGCTGTATGTGAACTTCTTCTTCGTTGGCGCACGCAGACGGAAGCCACGGCAAACTGCGCCCGAAAACTTAGAGCAGCCCCAACTGGAGCTTCCCAAACTCAGTCAACGGAAATAGTTGGAGTGCAGCATGGTGTTTAATACTTACTTATTGTATATAGACACATGTGTGCCGCCCAGCCCCTGTATTTCTCCACCAGGCGGCACGTAACGCGAGAAATACGTTACAAATAGATCGCATGCACATAGCGCATATTTGTATTATGCAATCGTACTGCCGATTTGAGAGATTTGCGGGTGTTATTTAATTGTGCGCATTTCTTCGTTTTCAAATGCGATCACAGCCAGAACGTGGCTGCCCATCGATATCGCTGGCTGTCATCGATACGTTGGAGCGCGAAGAGGAAGAACTAGCAGAAGGACTGAGAACAGCAGCACAGTGGGCTAAACTGATATAAGCAGCAAGCAAACTAGCTGCGCTACTGTTAATTTATATACCTGCTATAATTATCTTTTGAAAACATCAAAAACGTTCGTTATTTTGTAAATCAGTAAATCTTGTGAATCTTCAATACATATTCATTTGATGCACGCCACTTTGCTGATGGCTAACATGATAGGAAGCACTTAAATCAAAAAAATGTGCACCACATTTTTCCGATCGACTTAACTTTAAATAAAAACGTGCGAGTACGAATAGGGAGTTGAGAAACGATGCGATAAGTAAGCAAATAAATAAAATTAAATTCTGTTAATTTACGCTCCTTCTGTCTGAATGAGAGGAGATCTGTAAATGAAATTTACTTTCTACATGAGAATTCTACTTCCTACACGAGAATTCTGACCCACAAACGAGAATTTTACCCCATGTATCTGTAAACGTGTAAAATTGCTTCAAAGACGTGTCAGATGTATAATGTTAAACTACAGCTTCAGAATTCAGAGTGACCAAAGAAAAAATATCAATAAATATAAAAATAATATATAGCAACTTTGGTATTTTGGCAAACAAAAATCACTTTGAATTTTTTGAAATTTTCAACAAATTGAAAAAAACAGTCGGGCGGAGAAAAAACGAAGCAAAGTAAATAACGGCATAAATACAGTGTTCTATTCCGTATACTATTTGTTGATCAGAGAGAACGAGGAACTACAGCTAATACACTTATTTTCTTTCTAATTTTTTTTGCTTTCCTCTTCTGATCTCTGTTTTCTTTTTTTGTTCTTGTGTGTCTGTGTGAACCAATTGTTGCGCTACTGCAAAGTGAGAGTGTGTTGGTGTTCCGTGATTAATAATTCGTGTGAAGCAGATAGTGACAAAGCCGAAAACAGTGAAATAACATGCAACAAAAACTCCAAAGCTAATGGGAATATATGTATATATTTTGTTCAGAACGTGAGGGAGATTCTGTGAGACTTCAAGCCCCAAATATGCATATGCATTGCCGTGCCTATGTGTGCGTACGCGCGCGCCAACGCACACGCACGATCATCATTCCAATTGGGACACACACACACCCCCTTTCCATTGGGAATCCATACCCCGGGGCGATTAGTTTCTCCCATTGGAATTAATAAACAGCAGCACTTTGCGAGCTTCCACGCATACACATGCAACTGATAAGTTCCAATCGGAGCTATCTTCCGATCAGACCGGGATCAACTGCTTGTTCCTGACGTACAACCTGTTCCGATTGGACGTTCAGACGTTAAGACATTCGGTTTAGTCGGCTTTAGTCGGGTGTGTGCAGCAATTTGTTGTCCATAAATGGCCAAACAGCCAAGTCAATAAACCCCAATAAAGCCCACATTGGCTATTTATTATGAATTTCGAAGCAGCGCCGAGTGCGGAGCGTTGAGAATGGCGAAAATCAATCGAAGGCGAAATTCCATAAGTGGCGGACGTACATCACAAGTATTTCTAGAACTGATGTGTATATTTAGATATTTATCCGGCAAGTCGGCCGTGTGTGTGTGCGTTAGTCTGTGCGCGTGTGTGCATTGCAGGCGCGAAGAAGGTTCTGAAATCCAGAAATACACTTCTCCGGGGCGCCAACAGTCTGGAGGGAAAGGGGGAAGAAAGTGAAATAGTGGCCCAGCGACTTTTGGATGATTCTTTTTTTTTATCACCTTCCTCGCACAGGAGGAAGTCGTATTTTCAATGTCTTTGACGCGGATTTCGCTTTCCCATTCCGCAATTCCCATATTCCCCCATTTCAATCTGGTTACCCGTAAATCAGGGCCAATTATTTGAGTGGGCTAAGGTCCGCACCCTTACTAAGGTGGCTAGTGCGTCACCGATTCTCATTCGCATTCCTCCATTCCCTTGGACAGGGCCAAACATAGCCAATATCGACATCCCCCAAATGTCTGGGGAGTGACCTCACGAGATGCGTCATCGTTATTAAACGGAAAACAGCCCGAGCGGGCAAACTGAATCAACAGAATCAACAGCGAAACAGAAACTCAAACGATATAGAGGAATGGGTTATAAATGTGGAAGCCCCTGGAGAACACATATTTACATTTTCGAAACTGTGGGCACTTCTTGTTCGGAACACCTCAGCTGTTTACCTGAAAAGTCGCAGCAAAACTATCTAACAACTGACTAGCTACCGTCTAGTAAGTCTCCTAGCTATCCGATTGCAAGTGGAATTGGAGACAAGGCTAGTGGTTGAGTGTTCCGTCAATTAATTTACATGATGCCTTCTCATGGCAATTTATTCAAGGGAATATTGTTTGTATCTGGCAGTATAAACAAAAAATCAATGATCGCAATTAAAGCCTGATATTTCGAAACTTGGAGTATGTAACTCGTAACTCTGAAGCTCGTTCACGTGCTGAATAGTAAGACCCCCTTAGCTTTCAAGATAGTAGTCATTTTCCTACGTGTACTTGGCCGTGTTTGCTTTGGTCTTATCTGGCTCTTGGAATGGAATTCAGAGAGATTGCTCCCTGAGATGTTTGCCCGACTCTGTGGTATGTCTTTTGCTCATTTAAATGTCTTCTTTATTTCCAGAATACTACAGAACTGGCCCACAATACAGAAAGCAAGAGGTTGAGATAAACACATACGGAAACCTAGAACAGAGGAGAGGAAAAGCGCAGCCAAAATGCCCGTCTTCCACACAAAAACCATCGAGAGCATTTTAGATCCTGTGGCCCAACAGGTAAGCATCCTACATACAAGGGGACTACGCTTTGGGGATGATGGGACGGGGGTTGAACTTTCGTTTCAAGTGGTGTATCCTCTCGCCCGAAATAGCTATAGCTAGTAAGCAAATTGGCGCCCAAAAAGGTAACGTTCCATGGTTATTAAATCGTTTTAAAGTTTAAGAGAGCACCCACAGAAAGATGTATTGCCAGTTGGTCTTGGTATTAAAATGCATGTGAATAGTTCAAACAATTCAAATCACACATGAATATGGCACATTCCTTGTAATACCAAGTCTGAAATTGTTTCTGTGCTTCAAAATACACGCTAGAAGCAGCATCGATACTAGTAGTTGTGAGTTTTTCATTGACTGCGCATTACTGATTCCACTTACCAGTCTCCATCTTCCTGCCTCCCGAATTTTCCGATTCCACAGACGTCTCAGATTCCTCCGACGTCTCCTCCATCCATCAATCGATCGACACCTGACATCATCCCCAAAACTGCATCTGTGTGGCATGTGTCCGGGTGCCCCTTTTGTCCCTCGATGTAGATCCATTTATTTGTGGTTCCCTCCACTATTATGAGATGAAACAAACTCGCAGATAGGAGGAGGAGGAGATCCGCATCTCGGTTGTTTTGCTGTTTTGGCGTTACTTAACGGGTCTAAAAATAAATTAGGTAGAAATAATAAGAATAAATGTTGATCAGAGGCCAGCCGGCCAACCTGAGCCTGAGGACAGCAGAATTTTAATTTAATAACGCAACAAATGAAAATGAAAATGAAAAAAAGAAGAAAAGAAACGTAGGAAAGGCGAGGAAAACAAATCAGATGGGGATGCAGGAGGGGACAGGGGTTGGAGCCAGTTGGCCGAGATCCAAAAATAGCAGCATAAAATACGTTTAGGAAAATCCAAGCGGCGAGAGAAGAAATAACCAAAATAAAATAAAAAGAAAAACATTTACGACGAACAAGCCATGAAAATTAAATCATAGCAAAAGTTATGGGCTCCCAAAGGGGCGAGGGCGCGGTGAGTTGGGGAACTTAGGTGTAGGAGTAGGTGTAGGTACACACATAGCCGAGCACACCACGCCACGGCCACCGTGTAGGTGTGGGCATCCATCGGATGCGGATGAGTGAGGACTGTGGTCTGAAAACTGTGCCAAAAAGCAAACCCAGTGCATTAGTCATCCGCCGGCAGGGATGTGGCGGCGGCATTGGCTGGTTAGTGGGGTGGTGATAGCTCCTCACTGCTCTCTGCTCACTGCTCACTGCTCGGTGCTGGCAAACAAATGAATTAAAAACGATCATTCAGCACATCAATCAGCAGACTGATACACAAACGCGAGCACATATGTCTCTGTCCATGTACGAGGCGCACATAATTAGTCGATGGAGAAGGAAGAGGAGAAGGAGAAGGGGCCACCGAATGGCGGATAGCAAGACTGCCTAATTACATAATTAATTAATCAAGTGGGGCAATTGTACTGCTAATTGGCGTTTACCAACATAAGCAAGACAGAGGTGGGTTAAGGCTGTGTAATCCCAGTTCAGTTGAGCGTCGTCTCAGGCGCCTAATCCCTGGACTTACACCCGCTTAGTTCTTGCTCTTGCCTCGATTTAGTTTCCGTTTAGATAGGCTCAATGGAGATTAGCGATTAATGCTCACCGTCTTCGCCTTCGTCTCCGTTTCGGTCTGAATGGCCAGTTCATTCTCTATAAATAGCCATGGGCGAAAACACCTTGAGCAGGTGATGATGCTGATGTCAAGTCCAAATGCCATGCACCATGTGGCGTTCTCTGGCACCGCCCACGCTCCCAGCAACATCCAATTCGGTTCGCATTGCTCTCGTTCTGTGGATCCATGAATCTGTGAATGAATAGAGCGAGATGTAGTTGGATCACTGGTAAATTCGAGTGGGTTTCAACTTGCCTTGGTTTGGGGCTCCGGCGATCACTCAGCACGATCATTAACCATTTTGCTGCCATAATAAAACAACTCCATTGCCTCCATACCCCGGCGCAAAATTGATTGATCAATCAGTGCGCTTCAGTGGACATAACTGGGGCTGCCGCCAATTGGAAAAAGAGTGTGTGTGTGGGTCCGTCCAGAGCTCCCAGAGGCTTAGAAAGGCTGATTAGATTAGAAAGATTTATTAAATAGTCTTGAAGTTATCATAAAACAAACCTTTCTCCTTGGGTATATCTCTTTTAAAAAAGGTTTGCAGCCCATGAAGATCTTCTCCTGCAAATCCCAATGAACCCATACTAGTTTTAGCTTGCTTGTCCCCTCGTCCCACATCCATTACCCTTCCTCTCTATACCCTTTCGTATTCGAAATCTAGTATGCTGTGGAAGGGTGTTCATTAATATAATTCATTCGTTACCCTCCAGGTATCTCGCCTGGTGATCCTCCACGAGGAGGCTGAGGATGGCAACGCAATGCCAGACCTCAGCCGGCCGGTGCAGGTGGTGTCGGCGGCGGTGGCCAACTTGGTGAAGGTTGGCCGGGAGACCATCAACAGCTCCGACGACAAGATACTGCGCCAGGACATGCCCTCGGCATTGCATCGCGTGGAGGGTGCCTCGCAGCTGCTGGAGGAGGCCTCGGATATGCTCCGCTCCGACCCGTACTCGGGTCCGGCGCGCAAGAAGCTGATCGAGGGGAGCCGCGGCATCCTGCAGGGCACCTCCTCGCTGCTGCTCTGCTTCGACGAGAGCGAGGTGCGCAAGATCATCCAGGAGTGCAAGCGCGTGCTGGACTACCTGGCCGTTGCCGAGGTAATTGACACCATGGAGCATCTTGTGGACTTCCTCAAGGATCTCTCGCCGTGCCTCAGCAAGGTGCACCGCGAGGTCGGTGCCCGTGAGAAGGAGCTGACCCACCAGGTGCACAGCGAAATCCTCGTGCGTTGTTTGGAGCAGGTCAAGACCCTGGCCCCCATTCTCATCTGCAGCATGAAGGTCTACATCCACATCGTGGAGCAGCAGGGACGCGGTGCAGAGGAGGCGGCCGAGAACAGGAACTACCTGGCTGCCCGCATGAGCGACGAGCTGCAGGAAATCATCCGCGTGCTGCAGCTGACCACCTACGACGAGGACACCAGCGAGCTGGACAATCTCACGGTGCTAAAGAAGCTCTCCAATGCCATCACCAACAAGATGCAGCTGGCCAACGAGTGGCTATCCAATCCCTATGCGCTGCGGGGCGGCGTCGGCGAGAAGGCCCTCCGCCAGGTGATCGACAATGCCACCGAGATCTCGGAGCGCTGCCTGCCCCAGGATTCGTATCCCATCCGCAAGCTGGCCGACGAGGTGACCGCCATGGCCAACACCCTATGCGAGCTACGCCAGGATGGCAAGGGCCAGTCGCCGCAGGCGGAATCCCTGGCTCGCGGCATTCGTGATCGTCTGGGTGAGCTCCAGTCCCTGGTTCACCAGGCAGTGCTCGGCGTGGACAAGGCCGGTGTACAGCAGACGGCTCACACCATCCAGGGCCGTCTGGAGCAGGCTGTGAAGTGGCTCCAGCACCCCGAAATCAACGACGGCGGCCTGGGAGAGCGTGCCATCAACCTGATCGTAGAGGAGGGCCGCAAGGTGGCCGAGGGCTGCCCTGGCCACCAGAAGGCCGAGATCCAGCAGCTGTGCGACGAGGTGGAGCGCCTGAAACGGCAGGCAGCTGGCTCTGGACCGGCGGCTAAGCAGGCGGCCAAGCAGCTCACCCAAAAGCTCTACGAGCTGAAGGCGGCCATCCAGAACGCCCTGGTCAACCGGATCGTGCAGGACTTTATGGACGTGAGCACCCCGCTGAAGCAGTTCACCGAGGCGGTGCTGCTGCCGGAAGGCACTCCCGGCCGGGAGCAGAACTTCAACCAGAAGTCGAACAACCTGCAGGCCTTCAGCGATCGGGCCTCGAAGACGTCGCGAATGGTGGCCGCCGGCGGTGCCTGTGGCAACAAGAAGATTGCCGAGATTTTGCTCTCATCTGCCGCCCAGGTGGATTCGCTTACCCCGCAGCTCATCAGCGCCGGCCGCATCCGGATGAACTATCCAGGCAGCAAAGCGGCGGATGAGCACCTGCAGAACCTGAAGCAGCAGTACGCGGACACGGTGCTGCGCATGCGGACGCTTTGCGACCAGGCCACCGATCCGGCGGACTTCATCAAGACCTCCGAGGAGCACATGCAGGTCTATGCCAAGCTCTGCGAGGACGCCATCCACGCCCGCCAGCCCCAAAAGATGGTGGACAACACGTCGAATATCGCTCGCTTGATCAATCGTGTCCTTCTGGTGGCCAAGCAGGAGGCGGACAACTCCGAGGATCCAGTCTTCACGGAGCGCCTGAATGCTGCAGCCAACCGGCTGGAGCGCTCCCTGCCCGCCATGGTGGGCGATGCCAAGCTGGTGGCCACAAATATTGCGGATCCGGCAGCGGCCGCCGCCTGGAAGAACTCCTTCCAGCGCCTGCTGGGTGATGTGCGCGAGGTGCGTGATGCCATTGCCCCGCCGCAGCCACCGCCGCTGCCCACATCCCTGCCGCCGCCCATTCCGGAGCTGAGCGCCCTGCATCTGTCCAACCAGAATGGTAAGTGTGGTGGTTATTCCTGCCTCTGGGTATCGTACTCATACGTTTTTTTTCTCCCCCACCAGCTGAGCGTGCGCCACCACGCCCGCCACTACCCAGAGAGGGTTTGGCCCCGGTGCGTCCCCCACCGCCGGAGACGGACGATGAGGACGAGGGCGTCTTCCGCACCATGCCGCATGCCAATCAGCCCATTCTGGTGAGTCCATCAAGTGATTATCCTGACACTGGATACTAATTTATACACCCACTTCCTAATTCGCAGATTGCAGCCCGTGGCCTGCACCAAGAGGTACGCCAGTGGTCGTCCAAGGACAACGAAATCATTGCGGCCGCCAAGCGCATGGCTATCCTAATGGCCCGCCTCAGCGAGCTGGTGCTATCCGATTCCCGCGGCAGCAAGCGGGAGCTGATTGCCACTGCCAAGAAGATCGCAGAGGCCTCTGAGGATGTGACGCGGCTGGCCAAGGAGCTGGCCCGTCAGTGCACGGACCGTCGCATTCGTACCAACCTGTTGCAGGTGTGCGAGCGCATTCCCACCATTGGCACCCAGCTAAAGATCCTTTCCACGGTGAAGGCAACAATGCTGGGCGCCCAGGGTTCTGACGAGGATCGGGAGGCCACTGAGATGTTGGTGGGCAATGCCCAGAACCTGATGCAGAGCGTAAGTTTCTGGTTTCATCCCTCTGTTCCCTTGAAAGTCTATCATCCTTCCCCTTTCTCTTGCAGGTGAAGGAAACGGTGCGCGCCGCCGAAGGAGCCAGTATCAAGATTCGCTCGGATCAAACCAGCAATCGCTTGCAGTGGGTGCGCCGGCAGCCCTGGTATCAGTACTAGGTGCTTTACCTCTCTCTCTCTCTTGACGGGGACCTGCCCAACTGTCCCCCTGTCAAACCTGCCACCTGCCACCTGTGCCTTGTGTGTACCATACAAAGCTTAACACTAATCTTAATGATTTCTATCTTAAATGTTAACCTCTTAATCAGTTCCAACTGAAACTATTTATTGTGCTCATACCCCCTCCCTCCCTGCCCCGATCCCACTCTGATATGGTTTCGATAATTGTAAAATTAATTATTAAGCGTGCAATAAAAGCGAAAGAAGGAAACAAGCCACGATCGGCCGGGTAGATGTACATACAATACATGCAAGCAGCAGTCAGTCGTCAGTCAGGTTTAAGCGAACGCAATATGTATATAGAATAAGTGAAGCAAGTGAAAGAGTTTTGAACTTGAACGCCGCACACCCCAAAAACCTTATGCCCCGTCCCTCGACTGTATTCGTAGTGTACTAACAGCAGCATTTATTATTATTGAACCCGCCTCTGCTGGAGGAACTAGCTCCCTCACCCTCACCCTCACACCCCTTTTGCCACTTGCCATTGTTTGTTATGTTCGGAACTAAAACTCACTAAAACTGCGAATTATTCGTTGGCGAAAGCAATGCTAACCCAAGAGCCCATTGTAATTCCCCCTCACCATGTGTGTCCATGTTCAAGATACTGATATAATTGAAATAAAACTGAATATCGAGTGTTAATTGGTGTTTTTGTGTGATATTTTCAGATGCTGCTGGTGCATACATGGCGTATACGTGATGTGCGTTTGAGATGTCATATTACGTATACGCCGCGTGAGTTGTGTAGCATGCCCCTGGGCAGATCGGAAATGGAAAGTGAAGCCTACTTTTTGGGGCTACGAATGAATTAATTGGTATTTTCTTTGAGTTTATTAACGGATTGTAACCGTTTTGGATTTCCTGTTTGCAACAATTAAAAAAATTAATATTTATCAAGATTTATGCACAAAAAAACTCATAGCTTGGCCAAATCAGCATTAATTTTAATTTGGTAAACTGTCCCATGTTAGTTTTTCTAAGGTTAATAAATCTGCATACTCAATTCAAAATGTTAAAAATATTCAAATTTTTTAAATTTTTTAAAATTTTAATGATGTTACCCCTTATAAAATTTGGAAAAAATCGCGAAAATATAGTTTCCTTTCCGATATGGCTAGAAAGATTCGCCAGTTGATGCTGATTAAGAATATATATGATTTATAGGGTCGCATATGACTCCTTCATTGATTAAAATTATATTTTCCTCTGCAAGATTCTTTAAATCAACATTTTTATTTGATAATATTTTGTTGTAAGAATGAATTTTTAAAAATTTCATAACTTTGTCAAAAATGCATTAATTTTAATTCGGAAAGCAGTTCTGTGTTAGTTTTTTGAATGTTAAAAAATCTGCATACTCAATTAAAAATGTTAAAATTTTTAATTTTTTATCGATTTTTACAAATATTAACGATGTGACCCCTTATAAAATTTCAAAAAATTTGAATATTTTTTTTTCAACCTGAGATGGCTAGAAAGATTCGCCTGTTGATTCTGATCAAGAATATATATGGTTTATAGGGTCGGAAATGACTCCTTTACACCGTTACAAGCTTCTGACTAAAAGTGTAATACCCTGTAATACCCCGTGCGGATCTGATTCCCAAATTTGAATACAATTTAATAAGAAGTTGGAAGTTGTTAAGCAATAACAATCCCAATGCGTTTTTACATCTGGAAAAACTGAGCTTGTGCAACATCAATGTATTGTCAGCAGCAGCGTATGTTGCCCAACATCCTTTTTTAGCCACTTTCTTAAAATTCAAGACTTTGAAACCATTAAAGTTTGCTAAAGATCTTACAAATAGTGCCTAGTATATACTCTTAATGAATATTCCCTATAAATAGGGACGATCTTTAAGATGTATGAGGAACAAATAAATCGAAAATAGGCTCCCGAAAATACAATAATAGCCCATGTTTACATCTCTGCCAGCAGCACATCCGCTGGCCGCCCATGTCCACCTCCATGCTCTTGTCCCTGTCCGTGTCCGCCTCCAGCGGGCAGTCGGGAAATCCGAGAGGCAACCCGGCTATAATTAGCCGACACTCCATGACGCCGAGCAAGGCAGAGGCGAACGGTGCGAGTTGAGAGCAAAGAAAAGCGGCAAGAAAAGCGCCGAGAAAAGCGAGGAAACTCGGCCGAGCGGAGAGTTGCCTCGGCGGCAGCGCTTTTAGTTGCGATTCGATAATCGGCGGCATCAAGAGCGGGAGAGTTGCGATTACCCAACGCCACTACGCTGGTCATTCGTGTGCATCCTCAACAACGCCATGTCTCAGAATCCGGTCGTGCCGGAGCTTCCAGCGGTGGATAAGACGCAGCAGGAGCAGGTGCCAGAGCAAGAGCAGGAGCAGGAGGCGGAGCAGGTTTCCAAGTTGCAATTGCAACAGCCGCTGAAGCAGATGACCATTAGCGCCTCTACGCAGGAACTTGCCGAGCTCCTGGACATTCATCTCGGCGCGTTGCGTCCCAAGGAGCCGGCATGGCGGGTGGCCGACTCGCCCATCTCTGGCCGCGGTATCTTCGCCAGCCGGAACATTGAGGCCGGCGAGGAGCTGTTCCGCGAGCACACACTGCTGGTGGGTCCGACGGCGCATCGATCCACGAATCTGCGTACCTGCACGCTATGCTACCGCCTGATACCCGGCACCACGGACAAGGAGGCCCTCTGTCCGGCGGGATGTGGCCTGCCCGTGTGCCTGGCCTGCCGCGATTCGCCGCGCCACGAACTGGAGTGCAAGCTGTTCCGCAAGTGGCGGCCACTGGATCGGGACCGGATCGAGCCCCGTGCTTTGCGCATTCTCAGCGTGGTTCGATGCTTCTTCCTGGACGAGGCCCAAAGGAAGCTGCTCTACGCCATGCAGGCCAATGCCGATCGTTACTACATGAAGGAGGTGGAGCGGGCGGCCGCCTGCTTTGAGCACTTTCCGCGCGAACAGGACATGCTGGACTTCTTCTACCGCACCATCTGCGCCTTTAATACGAATGCCTTTGAGAGTCGTAGCAGCGTAGATGGACATGAGGTCCTGGTCCGGGCGCTATACCCACTGGCCGGGCTCCTCAACCACCAGTGCACCCCGAATGCAGCGCATCACTTCGAGGATGGAGAGACTATTGTGGTGTGCGCCACGGAACGGATACCCGAGGGCGCCGAGATCACCATGTCCTATGCCAAGCTGCTCTGGTCGACGCTGGCCCGGAAGATGTTCCTCGGCATGACCAAGCACTTTATGTGCAAGTGTGTCCGCTGCCAGGATCCAACGGTGAGTTGACCAATGGATCCACGGAGTGGGAGCTGCTGCAGCTGCTTTTTGCTCTCAATTTAGGGGGCCTTAAAGTGGCACAGTCTCTGCGCTGCATCCCCAAAATAGCTTCATCAGCGCCGTCGTAGAAATGTCACCGCCCAGGGGCGTTCGTCGAGGGGATTTATAGCACTCAGCAGCACTTAATAGTTTCGGATACAATTCAAAAAACCCATTAAATAGATGATAATAACAGGGATTCCTCTAGAATCTTACCCATCAAGTGCTGCTTAGTACCCTCACCCGATGACGCTCCTGAGACGTATCTAAAGTGGGTGCCACAGTGACATCCAACGAGCAATTAATCAGCGCGTCCTCAGTGACTGCTTGTGGCGAAATTCAGCAGGGGATTTGGATACTGGCCCTGGCCAGAGAAGCAGCCAAGTGAGTAGAGAGCACCCCCTTTGCATATTCTCTTTCGCAACCAAAAAGGCTCACAGAAGAGTTGTCGAGGACGACAGTTTAGCGAGAGAAGGCATGATCCATATTTGGTTTGTATTAAGGGAGTTCCCCTACCCGATCCCCTTCCAATTCCTACCTTTCCCTTGAGAATGATCTGCACGGTGGAACAATAACCAACTGAAAACAGAACCCATTATCTTTAGGGGCCTGTATATACTGGCATGATCCGCTGCGGGCAGTCTGCCAATGCCCGATGGAGGCGCCCCAACTAGTCCTACATATCATCCTACATCATATATACATATAGACATATATTTGTATATATCTTCTATATCATTCATTCATTCAAACGCTCTGGCAACTGGCACAGAATTCGGTCCGCCGGGGGAGGGCGATGTCATAGATCGCATAGCACGTCAACTGCCCTTTCCCCCTCACCTGTCCACCGCATCTTTGTATCTCTGTATCTTTGTATCTTTGTATCCGCGGTTCTATCGGATCTTCGCATCTTCGCAGCTTCGCATATTCTATGCCGCACGTCAATCCACATAAATTTCAATTTCGGTTTGCCTCGTTTTGTGGGCTTTTAAATATAAAATTTGCTCACAAATTCTTTAGAAAACAAAAAGCGACCCACAATGAGGAACATTTTGAGTATTTCGTCTGGCATAATACCCTTTCATTTTCAGAGGGATTTCCGAATATCTTTCAGCTTTTCGATTATATGAAGGGTAACTAAAGTTCCTTCATAATCTCTCTTAAAATTTCATAATGCCCTTATTTAAGATATTTATTGATCGATTTCCATTTAGTTTTCCTTAAGTGTTCTGTATTATTTTCCTGCCCAAAAGGGTATTTTCATAGGCAGCTGTCAGTTTTCCCATTACTTTGTTAGTTTTGTTTTGTTTTTTGGAATATTCAACACTCGAGTGTGTGTTGTTTTTTCACTTATTCGATTTTGGGGCAATGAAATTCACATCAAAAGTGAAAATAGATTTTAAATGGAGCCACTGGGTGAGGAGCAGACACTACTATACCATAGTTGCTTGATGGCTTGAGGTTCGTAAAAGATTACAGCTGATTTACGTATGTCCACGGACGGATGGGCTTGCCAGGATTGGCCCAGGAGATTCGGAGTTCGGTGCTGGGTGACAACGCGTGACAGTCGTCGCAAAAGGTGAGCTGGTGGGGGTTGTCCTCCATGGTTATGGTGCCATCCCCAACATGGTCGGTCACGTGTCATGCCGCTCACCTCGTTCCGCTCCCATTCGTCCCTGACACGCAACTCCTTTCTGGCCAGCGATGTCTTAATTTATGTCCCAACCACACGCACTGCTTCCAGGAGCGGAGAGGTGCCACCGGAGAGGGATATACACTGGGAGAAAGTAAGCCTAGTCAAAGCGGACTAGTTGGAAGGCGGCCTAAATGGTTCGAAACAACAAATAACATATGATTTAATATCCTAAAGTTCCGACACAACATTATAGTTCTTGTTATGGATATGTCTGTTGATTTTGTCTGGCTGACTCTTGGCTCTTTCTGGCTCAAAGCTCTTCTTAAATTTAGTCGATTTGTTTTGTCTTTCGAAATGTACTACTACTTTTGAGCAGTGCAATTGTCTGCCCCAATAACAGGTATATCAGTGACTCTGCATCTCCACAAATAATTTTTGTCCACCTGCTCAGATTGCCGGAGGGGGGTTGGATATACATATGTATATATTGACTGGAACTGGGACTGGGACTGGGACTGGGACCGAGGGTGGGTCTCTGTAGTCCTATGGCTTCGCTTCACTTTATGGCATCCATAACCATAACCAACCGCAGCACATCCACAGCAACAGCCACATGGCAGACACGGAGAGGTGTTTGTCGAGCAAATTGACAGCGGGGAAGCTCTCTTTGATGGCATCGACTGCATCAGTTGGCCGCTTTCTCCGGGCGCTCCTGGCTACGCCGATGGGCCACCGTTGCCACCGTCATATGCGAATCCAATTGAATGCAACAATACAGCCGCAGGCAGCAGCGCAAATTGAATAAGAGTCAAAAGCAAATCCGCTTTGCGGCGTACCAGCCAAAAGTGGGGCACTTCCGGTTTTCAATTTCGCTTTCAATAGTTATTCATTATTCGAATTGAGGGTTTTTATATATTAATTATTGTTGGAATTGGAATTGGTTTTTTAATTAAGGAAGGAAATCCGAATTTTGATCGATTTTTATCCAAGATTAATGTCCAATTTCTCTTAAGATTTCATTTGTGGGAACACTGGCTGCGTGTGTGTGTCGGCCGTGTTTTCTGTGTGCGTGTGCGTGTGTGTTGTTGGAAAAAATCATATTTGACTGTTGTCGTTGTTGTCTCTTGTCCCCCACGCCACACACCACCCCTCTCCACATTCCCCATTCCCCCGTGGCCGCCTTTAATTTGCGTGTGTGTGTGTGTGTGTGTGTTGTTTCTTTTTTTTTTAGTTGTCTCTAATGCTCTCCGAGGGCGTCGTCGGCGTTCACGTCATAAGCGTCGCGCTGTCCGTGTTGCCTTCGTAGCTGCTTCTTCAGTCGCCTCTTGTGGCTGTTGCTGCTGTTGCTGCTGCTGTTGTTGCTGCTGCTGTTGCTTCTCTTGTTGCTCGTGCTGTTGTTGGTGTTGCAGGGCCCTGTTGTTGCTGCTGTTATTCTAGCTGTTGCTGCTGCTGTTGTTGCTGCTGCTGCTGCTGCTGCTGTTGCTGCTGCTGTTGTTGCTGCTGCTGTTGTTGTTGCTGCTGCTGTTGTAGCGAGTCATGTTGCTGTTGCTGCTGTCCCTGTGTTTGATATTGTTGCTGCTGTCACCGCCGCTGTTGCTGCTGCTGCTGCTGCTGCTGTTGCTGCTGCTGCTGCCTCTGCCGCCGTCGCTGTCATTCCCGCAGAGCCGCAGCGACCACGAATGCCGCGGAGACATCATCACTCGCTGAGTTGTCGCGCGTCGCGTCGGTTCGCCGCTGTTCCGCCGCCTGACCATGTCCGCCTCCGTCCAAGTGCCAGCGCCGCGCGTCCAAGCGGATACCACAATGGCCGCCATGGTGGCCCACATGGCGCCCTGCCGCAACACCACGCCCGAGCAGCTGGCCCAGCTGATTGATGCGCATCTGGGTGATCTGCGGGAGGAGCAGCCCAACTGGACCATCAGCTCCTCTAAGGTTGCCGGTCGTGGCGTATTTGCCACGCGGGACATTGCCGCCGGCGAGCTGATCTTCCGGGAGCGGGCTCTGGTCACGGGTCCCACCGCGCGCAAGGGCCAGCTGAGCTGTTGCATCTGCTGCCACCAGCCGCTGCCGCAAACGGGCTTCCTGTGCCGGCACCGCTGCACCCTGCCCGTGTGCGAGACATGCTCCGATAGGGAGGAGCACCAGGCGGAGTGCGAGCACTTTCGCCGGTGGCAGCCCAAGGATCTGGACGCCGAGCCGGGACAGGAGCAGGTTAATCCGCTGTCGCTACGCATTCTGACAGCGGTGCGGGTCTTCCACCTGGGCAAGGAGCAGCGTCATCTGGTTGATGCCATGCAGGCGAATGCGGAGCGCGGATATCGCCAGGAGATCATCAAGGCGGCACAGTGCTTCCGCAACTTCCCCACCACGGACCGCCTGTTCATGGATCAGCTCTTTCGCATCGTGGGAGTGCTGAATACGAACGCCTTCGAGGCGCCCTGCCGCTCCGGAGGCCACGAGGTGCTCCTGCGCGGTCTCTTCCCGCTGACGGCCATCATGAATCACGAGTGCACGCCCAATGCCAGCCACTACTTTGACAACGGTCGACTGGCGGTGGTGCGAGCTGCAAGGGATATTCCCAAGGGTGCTGAGATCACCACCACCTACACCAAGATCCTTTGGGGCAACCTCACGCGCGGCATCTTCTTGAAGATGACCAAGCACTTCCTGTGCGACTGCACGCGGTGCAATGATAACACTGTGAGTGTGGGGGGACTTTAAGGACCTGGGGGAATCCTTTGGAGTATCCTCTTGGGAATCCTCTTGAGTATTCTCTTTGGAATTTGCTGGGTAGTCCTCTGGCGAATTCTCTTGGGAATCTTTTGGAGAATCCTCTTGGGAACCTTCTGGAGAATTCCTTGTGGAATCCCTTTTGAAATCCTCTGGGGAGTCCTTTGACGAATGCTTGCGGGGAATCCTTTGGGAATACTTTGTGGAATTCTCTGGCAAATCCTCAGAGGAATCCACTCAGGGCAGCCTTTGCGGAATCTTCTGGGAAATCCTCTGGTTAAGTCTCTGGAAAATCCTCAGAGGAATTTTGTCGCGAATCCTCTTGGGATTATTCAGAGGAATTATTCCTTGGCTAGGCTTGCTTGTCACGCTACTACTCTTCCTGTGACTCTAATGTGTATTAATCATTTATACATTCTTGACTCATTGTATATATATATCGCTTTGACCCTGGTTTTTCCAACTTTACAAATTAAGTGGGTTTTGTTCGTGAATGTTCAGGAACTAGTATAAGTTATACTCTTATGCATTTTATACGTTTTTGAAATCCCAAACTCCACATTTCTTTTAGATAGATTCATAATTAATCCCCAATTGAGATATAGAACCTTATAACTAACTTTGCTGTATATGACTAACTCTAGATAATGCTTGATAATTAAGGTTTACTTAATATTATTATAACTCCAAGTAGTTCTTTCCATAATTTAACTCTACTTTCGGTAGTATATACCTTTCTCTAATCAAGTTCTCAAGATCAATGCTCTAGCAACTCCTAATGATCACTTCCAGCACATATACCTCATCCCGTTTCTATATGCTACTCGATAATAAGTTTTCTGGTTGCTTCAGTTATTTTCCCCTCAACATTCATACATAAAATAGATACATATCTGATTTGTTATATCCGTTCGATACTCCACAACCCATGAAACGGCCCTGTGAGAACCTCGTCATCAGGCGACCTCAAGAAGCAATTATTGAAATCTGAAAAGCATATTTCACTTGAATCCCAACGAAATTTTCTTGGCCCACAGAACAACGTCGCTCTCCCGTATATATTATGTTGGTTCGCATGAATATCTATCTATATCTATTTATGCTCATAATGCCGTGGCCATGCCGCACTCTCGCACTCTCCCAAACCGAATCCGTATCCAAATCCGATCTGGTGGATACGGTGAATAATGGCCTCTGGGGTTGGCATTGTCCCCCCGCTGCCCCTGCTGGCCAGGCCACCTGACACAAATGCGTTCCCTAATTAAATTAGTTCTATGATTTGCATCAAGGGGGAAAGGCGGAGGGCGGAGGGCAGAGGGTGGTGATTGGTGCCTGGTCACTAAGTGGCTAAAAGTTTGGCCAAACAAAAACATCAAGAGAGTGAACCAGAGTGAAGGGAAATGGAGTCAGTGTCAGGAGTTAAATGGGTTGGGTAAGAGTATCGGAAAGGCTATGTAATCCAGAATAATTAGATCCTAGATTCTATTTTGGTTTATCTTTAGGAATATATAAATTTGCTAGACATTTTATATTTTTGAATAACAGAAATCTACAATAAACAAGGAAAATAATCTGCAAATTCCATCACTTCCTCAACAAAATCGAACATTTATGGTAACTTCAAATATGTTTTCAAAAAACCCCTTACTATATAGGTAATTAAAAGGAACTATTAAGATATGTACATATCTTCGAAACGCCTATTGATAGACTTTTATAGAAAAATGCCTGTTTTCCTAGATGTATTATTAGAAACCCGGAACACATAGTAATATAAATAGAAATATTGAGTCTGAATATGTGTTCAATATATCCAAGTTCCCTGTGCTACTAACCTCTGCACCGCATACAAACCCCCGCCTAAGCTTGACCCACATACCGATCATATGCATAAACAAATATGATAATGCATTCGATTCTCATATCGAGTTCATTGGACCGACCAAGAACGCCTTGAAGTGACAGAGGTGGCCCTGCATAAGTTAGACCTCCGGAAACCAGCCAAACCACTGATCCTGCTCCACTGATCTCATTTGCAGGAGAACGGCACCTACTTGTCGGCTCTGTTCTGCCGGGAACAGGGCTGCCGGGGACTGGTCATTCCCGTCCAGACCCGTACCCTGCAGCCGGACTGGCGCTGCCTCACCTGCGAGAATGTCTTCCCGCACGCAAAGATGGCACGTTACCAGGACTTTGCCCTCAATACCATCAACAATCGGATCAACTCGTGCAGCGTCCAGGACATGATCCACTTCATCAATGAGCTGTGTCCGCGCTTCTGCCCGCCCTCGAACTATGTGCTCATCGAGGCCAAGCTGAATGTCATCTGGCGGATGACCCGCTTCGACCGAGACCAGTACACACCAGAGGAGATGGCCCATATGGATCGGTATCGCGAGGATGTCCTGGCCATACTGCATAAGCTGGGTGCCGGCGAGTGTACCCTGAAGAAGCTAATCACCGAAGAGATCCCATGAGACAATGATGATGATGATGACGATGCATTGGCTCTGTGAATTCACTGTTCTCTGTTAATATATTTATTTTTTTTCGGCGTGATTGTGTGAGAGTGAGTGGAGTTGTTTGAATGAGCGGGGTCTAACCCAAACCCCATTGTTGTTAATCTACTTGTTAACTTGTAAGGCAAACAATAAAACACCGAGCTATTATCCAAAACTTGTAAACATCTACAAAATCAATTGAGAAGAGAGAAAGCCAGAAGCCCACACAATTTCATGCTTAAGTAGAGAAAGCAAATCTTAAGCTAATCCTCTCCTGAATCCATCCAGTTCTTTGGGAACTGTCAGTCCAACCAGCCGCAAAGATTGTCGCCCGGCGATTGACCAACAAAGTTGAAAATTGGCCCGCTACAAAGTCGTCAGAGTGTGCTCTATGGCAGCTTCTATAGTCTAAAGAATCTCGTCTAGATTCCTCCGATTCTTTTGGCAAGCATTATAATAATTATCGGGCCCATCTCTTGGCGCAAGTCAACTACGAAAATTATCTATATTGCATCGTGATTTATGGTAAATAAACAAGCCGAATGAGCGATAATATGACTTTTGTAAACAGTGCGAACCGAAATACATTTATAATTCATTATCAGCTGCCCGAGATCGCCAGAGATACATATGTATATCTTCCTCGTAAGTTGGATTTATAAAGAGCTGTAAAGACTTTGAATGTTTCCACTTTACCTCAGCTGAGGCAGTTCCCACAAGGAGCCTGTCCTGGCTGGGGCTAATCGATTCTCAATACGAGTGAGAGACCCTCGCATGGGGGGTTCCCCTTAGTGGTTCTCGTTGTTGTACAAAAAGCTTTCTTTAATGGCGCATAGAGCGGGGACACACACACACGCACAGTCATAATGGAATAATAATAATTTCTCTAGTACAATTTGCATATGAATTCACATACTTATATATGTTATAGATACATATATAGGTTAACATTTGCATGCATTACTTGCCAAGGGAAAGGGTAGTCAAGGGTCAAGGGTAGTTGCCTATACATTAATAATCGTATATGCTATATCTTTTACATACATACAGGTCTGACCTAGGTCTAGGACTTAACAACTACCAAGTACAACATATATACATTTATATATGCTTTACAATTGAAAAAAAAAAAAAAACAAAAAAGAGAGGGGAAACCGAACAAGTCATGGGACTAACTTAAAGACATATGCTCCGCATGGGCCTTCTGCTCCGACTTGCGGGCCTGGAGCCGCTGCAGCGGCGGAATGGCAAACATCACCAGGCCACTGATGCCTATCATCAGACCGGCCATAAGGAAAGCCGGCGAGTACGAGTTCGTCAGATCGTACATCCAACCTGGCAAGGATTAAGGGGAACTAGTTAAATTGAAACTTTCATGGAAACTTTCAGCAAAACCCACCTCCAATCGGGGGACCAATGAAGCTAGCAATGCCCTGGAAGAGCAGCAGCAGGCCAAAGGCATTGGTCAACTTGTCCAGACCCAGCAGATCCACCAGAATGACCGAGGTCAGGCCCACATAGGCTCCGATCGTGAAACCAAAGGCGGTGCAGTAGAGGGTCAAAGATCTATAGTCATGGCACAGGGGCACCATCACAGTGGCTGGAAATGTGGAGACGAAATAATGCGGTAACGATCATTCTGATCAGTAGCTGGATTTCCCAGAGGCAACTCACCCACGCCGCAGGCGGTCAGGCACAGATTGTAGACCAGCAGTCGGTTCACCCATGGCTTATCCGATATGTAGCCCAGGACAATGCGACCCACCGTATTGGCCACTCCAATGGTGGCTATCAGGTAGCTCGCCTCCGACTTGGTTATTTTCAGAGTCTCGGCATAGGCTGCCACATACAAGTATGGGACATTGAAACCGATGCTTGTGCAGAAATTGGACACCGAGAAGATCACAAAGATGACGTCCTTCAGCAGCGAAAAGTTCATCATTTCGGCGAACGTGTCGCGGGTCTCCTTGGAGCAGGTGATGCAGCCACAGCATTTGGTCTCCTCCTAGAATGGGGCATAGCAGAGGAAAAGCTAGAACTAGTTTGACCCACGACTAATGGAGTTAACGGTCACAGCCATCCGCGTGTTTGTCCGACGCAGTGGCCGAGACCCATGCCAAGTGCGAAATTAACATGCATGTGGAGGCTCATGTTAGTCAAATGATGGGCAATGAATATGCACGGAACGATAGGACAAAAGCCATATGACTGTCGGACCCAAGGGACCAGTGCTGAGTCCGCTCTGGTCGGTAGCACAGACCCACGGAACACGGAACACGGAACATAGAACATAGAACACGGAGCACTGAGCACGGAACATGGAAGCCTTCTACGAGGATAGCGAAATATTCGTGACGGGCGGTTCGGGCGTGGTGGGCAAGGCTCTGATCGAGAAGCTATTGCGATCCTGCAACGTCCGCCGCATCTACGTCCTGCTGCGACCGCGGCGCCAGCTAACGGCGGAGCAGAGGCTGATTCGGCTGAGGCAGGCCACCATCTTCCATGTGCTGGCCGTGGAAAAGCCTGAGGCACTGGATAAACTGGTGGCCGTACAGGGGGATGTCTCTCTGCCTGGTCTGGGCATTGATCCCGAGATGATCCAGCGCATGAGGAATGTCTCCCTGGTCTACCATTGTGCGGCCACCGTGCGGTTCGATGAGCCACTACGCGTGGCCCTGCGGCTGAACGTCGGTGGCACTCTGGAGGCCATCAAGTTCGCCGAGGGCCTGACCGGTCTGAGGGCCTTTGTGCACGTGTCCACGTTCTATAGCAATCCCTACCTGAAGCGCGTGGAGCCCAAGGTGCGTGACTCTTCCTTGGACATGCCTTCTCTATTTTTTTGTTATCCTTGATACATGCAGTACTACTCCTCGCCCATGGACTGGCGGCTGTGTCTGCGGCTGCTGGACGAGGTGCCGGACGAGGAAATGCTTAATGCCTTGACGCGCAAGTAAATCGGGACTCCGGCAGAGAACTCAAAGAACCTCCTGAGCCTGACACATTCAACTTTCTCCCACAGGTTGATTGTGGGCTTCCCCAACACCTACACTTTTACCAAGAACCTGGCCGAGTCCCTGGTGAATGACTATCGTCATCGCCTGCCAATGATTGTGTATCGTCCCTCAATAAGTTAGTCACCAGAACCCCCACCTTCCAACTCTAATCCTGACTCATGATCCCTAATCCCTGATCCTCTTCAGTTCTGTTCGCTGTGGAGGAACCCTCGCCCAGTTTCTCGCCCTCACTGACGGGCGCCATGGGTCTGTTTGCATTGGTGGGCGCCGGCATCTTGAAGACCGTGTATCTGAGCAAAGAAGTCCACCTGGATATAACGCCCCAGGACGTGAGCATCAAGAGCATACTGTGCTATACGAAGCATGCCTACGAGATCTACCAGCAGGGTCCGCCCGCTGAGCTGCCGGTGTACCTATCCTCCTCCTGCCACCATGTGCCGCACACGTTCATTCAGATGGCCAAGCAAATGGATGACCTGAATCTGTGGCAGGATGCGCCCTTTCAGAAGAACCTAATGATACCAGGCTGCCACTACACCGATAAGCGATGGGTCTACCAGTTCCTGGTCTTCACCAAGCAGATCTTGCCCGCTCTCATCATTGACCTGCTACTGAGGATCTTTGGCCAGAAGCCGCAAATAATGGGTGTGGTCAGGAAGGGCTATCAGACGCTGGAGGTGATGACGCCCTTTATGTTTAACAATTACGATAGCCCCGGTATGTCGCTCAAGGACACGTTGACCGCGGAGAACAAGGGGTGAGTGACAGGATTAAAGGTTTCAGCTACTTTTCCAAACCCTCTCCATCAGCACCGCTTTCAATTTTGATGCCTTCAACGAAACGGATATCCATGCCCAAGTCATCAGCACTAGCAGGACCATGTTGCACAGCATTCGAACCCATCTGCTTCACGAGGACCCAAAAACCTTGAAACGCTCAAAGATTATCCTAAAGACGTGAGTAGCGAGTATATCCGTTGTGTGATTTAAACAGTAAAAATCCTATTTCCGCAGCAAGGTGATTCTCTATCAGGCCTTCCGACTCTTCCTGCTTTACAAGCTCATCCGCTGGCTCTGGGGCAGATACATGGGACAATTCGTCTAGGTCTTAAACCACTTTCCTACCTCCCATTACTTTTTTTGTGCAAATCCTAGGCTAGGATCAGTAATAAAGCTCTTTCCAGATCCGAGATTATGAATACAAGTACTCACCATACTCTGGGATAGATTGTTGTTCTGACGCAGTGATCCGTATCGCTTGATTACTCCCGAACCGGACATGGAGCGGTTTAAATCATTCCTTGAGCTCACATAGTCGGGCAGATTGTGCAGGGATCCCTAAAAGGAGGAGGGGAAAGGCAGATGGCAGATACTAGATGAGTTTGGGCAATGGCTTGGGTGAAGGATATCCGCACCTGGTAAAGGGCATCCGGACGGTACATGGTACCGCTGGCACTCCGCTCGCGATGGGCATCCTTAAGCGGTGTCAGCTGCAGCTGACTGTGGAACTTGCGGGCAATGTCATCATTGCTGGTGCTCTTTACCACCACCGACGTGGGTGGAGTGACCAAGGTGGGTCCCTGCTGGCCATTGATGGCTCCATTCGAGTTGTTGTTCTGTTGTGGGGAAAGACAGAAAGACAGTTAGAACTGATTTTATGAATCCTTTGCTTGGGCAACTCTCACCAAACTGGGCTTGAGGTTGTGTCCGACGCTATTGGAGCGACAGAGAGCTCCGCCCGTCTGCGGTGTATCCGTGCGCTGTGGTAACTGTAGGTACTGGTCCTTGGGCAAGATCTTCAGCGGCTCCAGTTCCGCTGGCGTAGTATTCTGATCTATAATGGCCGACTTTTTGCCCAACTTTGGTGTGCTGGGCGTATTTGGCGGCGTCTGCGGCGCCGTCTCCACTTCCAGCGGTCGGAACATGGCCCCAAAGATGATGCAGTTGAGCACAATGCCGCCGATAATGAGCATCGCACCGCGCCAGCCGTAGTTGCCAATCAGATACTCCGTTAGCGGTGCAAAGACAAAGGTGCCAAATCCCGAACCGCATACGGCAATCCCCGTAGCTAGAGATCGCTTTGCCTCAAAGTACTGCGTCACGCTCACAATTGCTGGCAGGTAGATCAGGCCGAAGCCCAGACCCGTGCCGAAGCCAATGGTGATGATCAGCGTGAGCACATTCTGGGCGAACATGCTCACGATGATGCAGCCGGCGGCCAGAATGGAACCCGCTATGGTCACCGCTCGACAGCCGTACCGATTGACAAACGACGAGCTAATGGGACCTGCAAGGAATCAAGGATTAGAAGGGAGCTTCTTTAATGGAGAGTTTGAGAGGATTGCCACTCACCCGACGAAAAGGTCACGCCCACCATTATGGAGGCTATCCAGGCTGTATAGCCCTTGCCCTCGTTGAAGTATTCCAGGAACTCATTGTAGAAGATGCCAAAGGAGTAGGTCATGCCATCGGCTGCAAAAAAAGATTGCGATATTTAGTATGGGTTTATTGCGAGTGCCTGAAAGTAGGCTCGAGATCGGGGCCCGGAAAAAGTGGACACTGGGCCATAAATGAGTTTAGTTGGGCAATTAATTACGACTCCCAAATTGGATCAAGATCCCCGGCGTGGCCATAGATCTCCGCCCGCCGTCTGCCACTACACATTGTCCCGTGGCAATTACAAATGCCAGGAGATTAGATTAGATGTCTCCGTTTCGGCTTCGGTCACAATTATCATCCAATTGATAGATGTATCGGCTCAAGTGGCAACTGTACACCACACTCTAGGCCACTCGCACTCCCCGTAAATCAGCTCCGTGGCTCGGATCGGTTTCGGGTATCAGGTATCAGGTATCAGGTATCAGGCATTAGGATTGGTACCTTGTCGATAAGACTTGCTCCTAATCTAACTCTGATTTTGCAACGATTAGGGTGCGTAGCGCTGTCCCAAAAGTATTTACGATTGCCGCCCCCGACTGCAACCGTCGCCTCCGACTTGGGTTGCCGGGTCAGTCCAAGGCCGGCAAGGTGTTAGATTTATGGCAGCCGTAAATGGCGTAACAGACGCGCACATGGTTAGCTGGTTAACTTGCTTGGTTACCCAACGCCAGAGTGAGCGATTGAGTCAAAGAACCGACTGACTAATTAATGTTTTAAACAATTTGTGAGTTGAATTACTTTTAAAATGCGCTCAAAAGTAGGTGAGTCCTGCTTTTGGGCACCTTTTCAAGTAATTTCTCATACTTACTGACTATGTGTATCATGAAGGAGCCAAAGACCACCACCCAGCCCCAGCCTCCATCCGGCGGCGTGGGCTGTGGCTCCAATTCCATCTCGCATGGCTGCTGTTGATGCTGCTGCTGGGATTTTCTGCGTGCCGGAGGTCCGTGAACCATTTTGTTGTCTTGGCCAGGCGGAATATGTGGGATGTGTTATATATAAGAGTGGACACCGGACAAAGCTCTCCTTTTGCAGTTGATATATATCCTATATCCTATGTCCTGGGTCTCCCTACAGCTGCTGCATGTTGCGCCAGAACTGAAATTATAACAATAGATTAATTTAAAATATAAAAGTAATGAGGGAAAGTTACTATTAATCCCAAATGCTAGGTTCTTGGTCCCTCTGGAGCCATGGGATTAATAATAACAATCAATTAATTCAAAAATAAAATAGTAATTAAGCAAAAACACGTGATGCAGAGGATGTTGCTGGTGTTCGCTTGTTGTTGCCTAGTGTCTGCCTTTGGGCTTATCAGTGGACTCAGCTCAGCCGAAAATACATTGAACTTGCCAAGTGCTAAAAGGAAAACAAATCAAAACAGATTGCTTCTATGTATAACATTTGGAAACGCTTCATACACAGCAATCGAGGAGTTCCTCCGGCTCTCTGGTTATTTCACAATTCAATCTGGACTTAAAAACAACTTACATTCTAAGCCTTATTCATAGAGACTTTCAAGTTTAATGTAATTACTCAGAACACTTCCTGTTTTTCTAGACTCTCCTCCCAATAGGTTCCTCCAATTAATGGCTCATTTTCCACATTAATTAAAATAACACATTTGCGTTAATCATTACGAAAAACTGGGTTAAAAAATCGCTGATGCTGACAAATATAAAGCAAAGTCATTGTTTGTGCCTGCTCCAGACAGGCAATGGTTAGCGCTCTATGTGAATGTGTTTTTCTTATAATTAATATTTTTTGAAAATAAGTTAAATTTAGAAGCGAACTTGTTTTCAATAAAGACACTCTCAGCCTGGAGAGACAAGGGGAAGCTGGGAGGCCTAGAGACTTCGATGCGAAAAAACCAAATCAAAGCAGTTATCAGGCTTTCAGTGACCCAACGACCCCGCCACCTCCTGTCTGCTCCCCCGTGGAACCCCGCCCACATTTGCTAAACGCAATGCTTATCGCCACCGTTATTTCCACTGAATTCCGCTTACATTTCCATTGTACATCTCCCGCTCAGGAGCCTCCGGGAGCTGGAGGAGCTCTCTCCCGTCGACGTATGTGCTCATGGGGACGTGGCTTATCATCTCCAGCATTGCCACCCGACTTTTAACGATCTATTGAGCTCTATTTGCCATTCAGACCCCCCAGCGATCATCACATCGTCAGCGGAAAGTCTTTCGTTTATACTGTGCGTCAAAGTCAGGAAATAACTATTTATATAGTTTATAATTTTAGAAGAAGAATCAAGAACAAAGTTAGGGGAAAGAAAATACCAATTTTATTTGGGAATGTAAGACTGTATAGTCGTGTGAATCTTTTCTGGTCTAAACCTCTGGGGCACCACTTCAGACGGCTCTAATCAGTGGCCAGAGGTGCGAATTACTTTCGTTTATTATTCTGTTGTTCTTCGCATTCTCACCAGCTGCACCGCTTAGAGATATAGAACATATAGAATATATATTATATAGAGGCAATATGCGTTGGTATCTTAAGCAGTGCTGCCCCTGCAAAAGTGAAAACAAAGCGTAAAAAGTTGCAACAATGCCGCATGATAATTGTGAAGTGATAAAGCAGATGGATTCCAGGGGAGGATTCGGATACGGACTCGGATTCACATTCGGAGGCAGTGCACTCCACAGCTCTGAACAAAAACAAACAACATATGCGTCGCGTCTCACTTTTGTCCAAAGTCATGTGTGTATTATCGGAGAATAGCATACAATAAATACAATGAAAGCAAAAGAATACAAGCTAAAACTCGACCTAAAATTGATTAGCGGCAAAGCACACAATCGGGACAATAACATGTAGCATATAGCATATACATGTACCATCCTCCATGTATACCAAGAACAACAGGAAACGCATCCAGAGCGCTGCTCCTACATTTCCATGTTCCTAGAGCATTATGATTCATCGGTCGGCGGTCGGTTCCTTTGTGCAATCAAAGACAATTAAAACAATACAAATCAAATCAAAATTCAGAACATTTTTGGTATTATCACACTGGGATTGTGAGGGATGTGAGGGTATAGGAGGAATGCTCCGGATATAGATAGTTGGGCCAAGTGGCGACCGTGACATTCAGGCGTTTCATTCCCTCTAATCGCCGACAAAGAGATTGCGCATACGCACCGTGTGCGTTACATGCCAAGTATTTGTTTAAATATATGAGTACATTAATAATTATATTATAGCAGAGAATCCGCCCACTTGACCGACCGAAGCTAATTCCAACAAAGAAACAATAGACTTTGCTTTTAGCTAGTCTAAATGGGAATATATGGACTATATACCAGAGCATATGAAAATCAGAGGGGAAGAGATAAAGAAGAGGTTCTACTCTCTCAATCTATTTCCCAATTTGATTACCACTTAAAACTGTAATTAATTTAATTGATTTCATTAATTAATTCACTTAGTCAAGCATTTAGTTGCATAGGTTTTACCATCCCCTCTTATCGGTAATGGGAACTTTCTGGGATTTGTATATCTACTTAGGAACTACTTGAACTGAGTTAGCAACTCAACTAATTTGTAATCGGTTATTTACTGCTCCGTTTATCTTGACCAACCACAAAATAAACAGTAACAACAATAATTATAACAATACAATGAGCATATTATCATTATCGCTGGATGCACTCGTCCAGCGGATGGATGGGTGCGCTGCGATGGGACTTTGCCTTGACCCATCTACGGCCGATGAGTGTGTTATGTATTACGTGAGTGTATTCATGATGTTCATGATGTGAGTGTGATGAGTGTGTGTCTGCATGATGTGGTGTGATGATGAGTGTGTGTAAATCGAGTGATAGCCGAAAAAAAGAGGAGAATGGGGCTAAATGTGCGCAGTAAGGAAAATGCAATATCAGCAACACGAACTGTGGAACATTGGCGCTCTATTACACGCAGAGAAAATATTGACACTGCCCAATTTAGACTATTAAATACTGATAATTTAAACAAAATTAAGTCTCTAAACAAGAACAAGCGATTAAAGCGAAAGTGATATGGTAAATCTATTTGCTATGGGAAAATATATTCGAAATATATTGGGTATTAGTTGCTAACCAAATAAATTAATTCGGTAAATATTGGAACATCTAATAAAACACTTTACAAAAGACTTTGTAATATAATCTTAAAATTTAAATTCATTTTGCCCATATTGATTATAAATTATAGATTACTTATCTAGTTTCAAACTAGTTTTAATACCATTATATGGTATTAAAGTTTTAGTTAGAAGCTTAAAAATATGTCAAGGAGTCATTTCCGACCCTATAAATCATATATATTCTTCATCAGCATCAACAGCCGAAGCGATTTAGCCATCTCCGGCTGAAAAAAAAAAATTTCAAATTTTTTCAAAATTTTATAAGGGGTTACATCGTTAAAATTTACAAAAAAAAAAAAACGAAAAAAATTTTAATTTTTTAAATTTTAAATGGAGTATGCAGATTTATAAACCGTCAAAAAACTAACACAGGAATGTTTACCGAATCAAAATTAATGCATTTTTGACTTAGTTATGCGATTTTTAAGCTTGATATTATTATCAGGTATTACTAGGCCCCAATTTCTCTCCGTGCTTCCTCCACTTGGTGCCGGCTGCCCACCAAGATTGCAGTCACTTCGGGTAACCCACAAAGTGTCGTTGAACCACGACCAGCAGCAAAGTAAACAAATGCCGCTTGCCAAAAAGCGATATCGAAGGTGATGATGATAGAGAACAAATGCCAAAGTGATTCACCTGCTGCTGCGGGTATCCACGAGCGACGAGTATCGATCATTCGCCTCCAGTGGGGGCCACTCTTTGAGGAGCTCCTTAATAAGCACTTGAGTAATTACGCCCATCCATGGAGGTGTACCCCGGGGGATTAATTAAGGCCGGTATCTCCGGTATCTTGTGTGTGTCTCTGTCGCCTTTGTCCCTGTCCGTGTCCCTGGCGCTGGCACAGATTTATGGCTGCAGTTATCCTTGCCCGGTTCAAACTGCATCTCAGCCGGAAAACTGGAAAACTGCCCGCCAGAATCTCCCTTCGCACTTTGTTTATTATGAAATTAATTCACTTTGCTTGGCACTAAATGAATTTTCAGCCTTTGCGGTCACGGATCTTAATTGCCGTGGCCTTGGACTCGGTCTCGGATTCGGATCTGGATTTACTTTCCCCCTTGGCCCTGTCCAAGGCCATTGAACCGGTATGGAGGTCAGGGAAACTTGGACTCTAAGGCCAAGGATATTTGGATATCGGGTTGTCAGGGCAACCATTGCCTAATCGAGAGTTGTTTTCATTGATTATCCTCAGCTCGGTAGCTTTGTTTGCTTTTTTAAAACGAAATCAGATGCCTAAATTTATAAATAAGTTAAATAAATTAAAGTGTAATGATTTTAATGCTAAAAAGTTTGGGTTCTTAACTTCCTTATGATGTATTCCCAAGCAAATTAAATAGATTCTATTTATTTGTTTAGGTCTCTTTACTACCTAAAGAAATAAATAAAATCAAACTCAAATTAAGCGATTTTAGAATTTAGAATCTTATTATTATTTCCTATATAGTAAAGAGCCTTTTTCTAGAATCTAGAGCCTATATAGTAGAACTTTAGAACCCTCTGATTTCTCCACTTTTCCACCTTGTACTCTTTATTATTTGTTCACATTGCTGGAGATTAAAGCTCCCATTTTTTCCCCCGATTCTCTCCCTCCATCAATCTTTCTCAACGATCTTGTCAACATTGCCTTAGACCTGGAACCTTCGATTTAGTCAATATCAATATCAATATTGGGATTATCAGGGCCAAGTCAGTAGACCGATAAATGGGGGATAACAGACAAAGGCAATGCACTTTCGCTCCCACGTTCTTTTTCTTACAAAAGCAACAAGTAAATAGAAAAAAAAAAAAAACAAAACCAAAAATAAAAAGAAAATCTTTTTAAAAATAGT